AGGCCACTAAAGGGTTGCACTTTGCAAGCTTGGAAGAAATTTCGATGAGGGCTTTGAACGCTCGCGAGGTGCTCGAATTAATGACGGGCTGGTGTTAGGAGTTTCGGAAACTGAATTATGAACACGTAGATAAGACTAATCGTCAGCAAATTAACGGTGTCGAGCGATTAGGTAGACGCGGGGCTAAACGAAGAGGTCGATGAAGCGATGGCAGAGTAGATTTCTGAACCGGCTCGAATTTCCACACCGGGCTTCGATCATTCTCGAATCTCGTCAAGATAAGTCTAGCGATACATCTTACCATTGATTAAAAATTCACGAAAGGTGGAAGCTAAACGAAGAGCAAGGCCCGGGCGTAAATCTTCTTCGAATTGCAGCTTCATGGCGCAGGGAAAGATAAGCCTTATCGTTCACTGATTGAAAACGTTAATCGTTACCTTGGAATGAAGAACGCTTGCTCTTGGGATCGGATAATAGGGCTAGGGTGGAAGCTCTCGTCCTAATCGAGTGGGAAATCAGATACGTTGGGGGTGCAATTATAGGGGTGAGATATATCCTAAATCATCGAGGAATTGCAATCTGGAAGTTCCTTACTAGAGTAGTACAGAAATTGACAACTGCCCTAATTCGTCAATAGTTTCTTATAGTGCCGATACAGCGAGTTGTGTAGTAAAGGAAAATGTACAGGGTGTCCCAGAATTAATGTAAGAAGGGTAATTGGGAGTAGCTGAGACGATTCTGAACCACAATTTCTTTTGCAAAAATCTTGCATGGTGGTTCGTTTTCGAATTATTAACGAAAAACCATCGACCAATCGCAGCGTTCGAGTACGCTAGCCACGACCTGGCGTAGCCAGCCAATCCTGGCTCGAGCCTATGCTCTCGCGACTGAGCGCGCGCTACACGAGCGCTGCTATTGGTCGGGTGGTTTTTCGTTAATAATTCAAAAACGAAGCACCATGCGACATTTTTGCAAAAGAAATTGTGGTTCGGAATCGTCTCGGTTACTCATCTCGTCTTAAACTAATTATGTAGCAGTGGAACTGCAACTTGGAAGACACTTCCAAGACAGAAGCTCCATAAAACCGCAGTACATATTATTCTGAGAAATTACAACTCTCACGATCCAACTCACAAGTAACTAAACCAATTCTCAGAACCTTCTCAAACTAATTACGTACCAGTGGAACTGCAACTTGAAAGTTCCTGCTGTGAATAGGTATCCAAACCTCCATGAAAGCACATCAACATTTCTTCCCTTTTGTGTTTTCCAGGACACTGACTCAGCATGTCCCTTCACCCGTTGGTAATCCTTCGATTTCCCAGTAGCGCTTTATCAACAGACTCTTCGAAAAACAGTATCACCACGAGATCTCTCGGCGTTGGTCTTCCTCTCGGCCCCGATACGGCGATCCGCGTCGCAACGGAATCGCCAGCGAGCGAATGCAGCGCGCTGATAAAGCGCACAGGGCCGGATTTCCCGATCGCCGGCAACATTCTCGTGGACCGACTCCGCTTTCCATCGGGTTATTTATTTTCTGATATATGCACCGGCCGAGAATACATCCACTTGCATCAGCATCGAATTTCTTCCGTTGCTATCCGTGCCAATTCGTTGAACCGGAAAACTCAACGGACCGGGGAACCTTATTTTCCAAGCATCGACTGTCGATCCCACGGGTATCCTTCCATCAGATATTCAAACCGTAGATCGTTCTTATCTGCACGTTAAGCGAAAATCATTCGATTCGCTTAAACGTCCCGCAGCCCCTCTATCGTTCTCCCAGCGGTCCTCAGCCTTTCGTCGATTTAATTAAACCGAAAATTATCGCGCCCCGACGTGCCCAGGGAGTCGCTCCTGATAGAAGACGCTGAGTCTCTGATAAATCGTCGTTTCCATTGTGCCCGGGATCGATTCGTGTTGGGATTCCCCCGTTCGGGGGTTTCGTGGATTCTGTAACTCGTTCACAAACGCGGTCCCGCCAGGGGAAATCGAACGTCGTTTGGCAAACGTTTCGTTCTGCCGGAGTCTCTGCTCGACAGACCTTTTTTAAATACACAGTAATTATCCGAAATCGAGGCCTCGACGTTTGAACTCTCGAGAAAAGGTCGAGTGATCGTTCTAGGAATCAAAAGAGTGCGTTTTCACTTTGTTAGGGTATTATTATCAATATATTTTCATGATTTCTCGAACAAAAATTAGCCCAAAATATGTTCAATTTATATATTAAATTTTACTTTTTAAACACTTATACAGGGTTTTAACAAATATGTGGGACATTTCTTCAGGATCAAGTCTACATACCTGTACGAATCGAAAGGTCCTTTACCATTTTGCAATCTGAGGCTTCGTTGTTGAGATACAAGTGATTGAAATTTACAGTTGTAACTTCCGACGCGGTCGCACATGGACGGCACTCACACACGAAAAAGACGCACCGATATACACTCACTAGCGTCATTCCGCCAACCAGCTGATTCGCAGTTGATTGTGAGCCGTCCATGTGCGACTGCGACTGCAAATTTCAACCGCTTATATCTCACCAACAAAGCCTCAGATTGCAAAATTGTAAAAGATTTTTCGATTCGTACTGGTATAAAGACTTGATCCTAAAAAAATGTCCCACATATTTGTTAACACCCTATATAGAAATTAATCTACCATTTTTTTGTCACCAACCTGAATAAGGTCCCTGAAACGAGACACGGGCATTTTCTCGACCGATTAGCGCCCAAAATGGCACTTCGTGATCCTCGCCATTGAGATACATGCGTCAATAGAAGACAAACACCGGAGGAAGTTTTCCCGAGCGTGAAATCGCGGCTTCGCGGTCTGTTTGTGCCTCTCGTCTTTCGGTGTACTTCTTCGATGTGTTTGCGTATCTCACTTTGTCGAAGTCTGAAACTTCCCTCTGTGTTCCTGAAGTTCTACACATATTTATCCTGCCACAGATGATCGTGAAAAGTAAATTCCCGAAGAAGTAACCGGCAATATTTATTTGTCTCGATGGTACTAATGAGTGAACACCACCTTTTAAGGGGTATTCCTTTTTAATTTGCATTTCTGGATTTGTTTGTTTCAAACGTCGACGTTCCCCGGAAATAAATAGGGACTGAAGGAAGTAAAACGTTATAACAGCGAAGAAGTGCTTTTATACGTGGTTGTTTGAACTGTACCTCAAAGAATTTGCTTTTAATTCCGCTTAAGCGCATTTCACCGATTCGCGCTGCTTTTCAAGTTCCTCGAACCTCGTAAATCGGAATTTTCTAGAATGGAGTCGGGGAAGAAGTGAAACGACGCAGAGAAAAACAGTATAACGAACTGAAATTAAACCAAAATGATAATGCATGAATGGTAAATGGTAAACAGCTTCAACCGTTTACTTTGACAACAGAGGAAGAGATTTCATTCTACGTTTGTAGCTTTGAAACCGCACCAAATATTATGGTGCTTTCAAGTTCACTCGCTCGAAGCTACTTGGCTTACGCATTAATTGCTAACAGTTCGTGGATCGACTGCAGTCAGTTTATTTGTACGAACTAGTACACATCATGGACCACTGCACGCTATATATGTAACAGTTACAAACTGCACAGGATTTCAGAACGTATACACCAGTACCAAGAGATTTAAATAATTGTATAACATTAAATCATGTTAAATTAAATAAATACATTGATCTTGTTAAAACGCTCTGATGGGAAATTTATAGAAAAAACTTGTGAACCTTTTTAAAAGTACTAAGTAGCATAATGCTTAGCTCACACGGTTGCTATTCACGAGGTCCCGTGTTCAAATCTCGAGGGATGTGATTTCGTTTTTTAAATGAAACTTTCTTCATTTCGATGAAAATGTTGAGGCAACGATGTAATAGGATAAAAAAACATTAATCCAAAATAGAAAATGGCGGAAAACTGTGGAAAATACAATTCGGAGGGGAATTTCCCCAAGGAAAGAAAATGTCAAAGGGAAAGGAAGAAAAAGAAAACATGGTCTAAGGGAAAAAATACAGGAAAATAATTCAAGGGAAAAGAGGAAAAAAAAAATGTTCTAAGAAGGAAAATGCAGGAAAATAATCAAAGAAAAAAGAAAATGTTCTACAGATATGAAAAAGTAAAGAAAATGCGTGAAAATGGGAAAGTAAACCAGAATATACAGAAGTACAACGGAACCTGGAGTTGAAGAAAGAACAGAACACTGGCTCGACACCTAAAACCGTATGAAAAATCGAGATATTGTTCGCAGCCCCGTGTACAATGCCTTCCCGGTATGCACACCAGCAAGAGCGGCCAGCACATTATCATCGACACGTGGCGAAATAAATTAGCGAGCGACAAAGCAGCGCCGATAACCGAGTCACTGAATTGTGGTCTAAAAAAGAACGTCGTGTCGTACGTTGCGCCAGAAGACCCGTGAATCATGAATTTTCGATGAGATAAAGCCGCGAGTATGCGGCAATTATAAAATCGCAATCAGCCGGCGGGAAATTGCTCGCGTGACCACGTAATACCAATAGTTATCGCCCACCATTAATCGCGTTCGTTTCATTGTGCGCCCGAAGATAAGTAGCGCGCTGCTTTTGTCTTACTTTTTACGATACCAGAGACAGAATGAAATTGTTTATCTTGGAAAGTGATAATGGAATGGAATCCTTCTTCTCGTCGTCACTTCTAAATATTTTAATCAAAGATACGCAAGGCTGAGTTATGAAACCCTACCTGCGGTTACTCCTAAATTATTTGGTGCACGAACAAATATTTCACGCAAAATTTACATGGTACCAAATGGTAGCATACTTTCAAGACATAAAAAAGAATTCTCTCCCACTGTCTACTGTTTAAAAAATTCTCCAAAAAAGTATTCATCAAGGTACAAGGGAAATTTGGTTCTACATTTCGAGCTTAATCGCTACGTCAACCCAAAAAATGAACATTTCCATGTACATTTCACTCGAGTCAGTGTTATCTATGGATACCGTACCTAGCGATGTTCTGTTCCAGGGTCCCTGCTGCACATCCGGCTGTACTCTGCGCAATGGCGATAAGTGCAGGGACGACAACGGATGCAGGGACGCGAGCTTTTGCGACGGTCGCGGTCCCCAGTGTCCGCCATCCATCAGCAAACCTAACAAGACCATATGCAACGAGGAGTTCGTCTGCTACATGGGGGTGAGTACACGCAGGTTCCCCCTTTCACTCTCTACAACGCTCCTCGATCCCCTTCGTCTTCCATGGCGAACTTCCGTCGCGTCTCCTCGGCTGGGCCGCCTTTTCACGCGTATCGTTGATGTACGAGCGGAAGTTTGCGAGAAAGTGGTCAATCCATTCGCCTGTCAAGTTCTACGGGCATTCGGAGAGGGGGTAACCCACAACGCGCAGATCTTTATGATCGTTGACGTCCTTATCGTTGGAAACCGCGCAGACAAAATAGGCCATGCCGCGCTGCATGGAATATGCTGATACGGAGTGTTTAGATTAAGGGAGTATGGTAATTGGGTACTCTGTGAACGTCGCGTTTCTTGACGTACAAGGGGGTGGACAAGGTAATACGAACGCACGCGGGATGCATTACGTTGCGCCATTAGCGCAGGGTTAAGCTGCCGTTAGTATTTTTGTCCCGTTTCCAGTGGAGTGTGACGATTTGGGAAAACTGTCGCGAACCTCACGCGCTCGTTTATTGTGAACTATAATTCAATAATAAAGGTCGATTTAGGCTATACGACACGAACCGGCAACGACACGATAAAACATTAAAACACGCGTTTTAATGGAACTATTCACACCTAACAGACACCGACCTGAACGTTCCGTCAACGGGAATAGTGTGAATAGTACCATTAAAACGCGTATTTTAATGTTTTGTCGTGTCGGTGCCGGTGTGTGTCGTATAGTCTGAATCGACCTTAACTCGAACGTCTTTACGAGTTGACTGTCGGTTGGAATTTGACAGTTTAACAGGTCCACCTGCGTGTTTCTTCCAAGCAAGGAAGAAAACAGAGTAGAGATCGCAGAGTATCTTCGCACTTTCAAACTCTATAATATCTCACTACTAGAAAATCTCCTACTAAAAATAAATTGTAAATATTACCAAGTGTGCTTTAAAGGATACTTAAAATATCCTTAAACCTCAACAAAAATTAAATAAATTTTTCTCTGTAAAATATACACGAAAAACACCTAATATTTGGCTTTCTAATGTGGTTCTCTCTTTATGTCCGTACGATCACCTGCTAACGAACGTCCTAGTTTTTGTACACTGAAGCTGCGGAAACGGAGATATTGCACCGTGAAATGCGGTAATAAAGAGTTAGGCCAGAACGAAACGAAGAAGTACGGCGTTACTTAAACTACTCCACGTAGCATTTAGTCAAGCTTACGAGCGAAGTTTATGAAATCGTCGCAGCTGACGATAGTGGCTGAAATTACTCGCGCGAATTTACGATTAACCTGCGCAAAGCTGGCTAGGGCTGTCTAGCTACTTATTCATTGGACCCTGCCTGCCGTTTCCGTGATCGTAGCAGAAACCATAACGCCGCATACGCGTTATCAAAGTTACAACGCTAACAGCGCTACGGAGGACAGAGACGTTTGATTATTGTTACTGTGAACCGTGCGCACGCAGCTGGAAATTAGTTTATAACGAATTTGACCAGGTGCACCTTTTAGTCCGCCAACTATGCGAAGCTAAATGCTCCATAATTCAACGTCTGAATTAATTGCTCGCGTACGAAAAAGAATTTAGGAAAGTGCACGTTTCGTCATTTAAACTTTATTACTGCGTGGAAAAATATAATTAGGCTACGCAAAAGGAACGCCGAGTGCCGGCGAAAGAAATATCTCAGGCGGAAAACGTAAAGAAAATTCAATTCTTCAAAGCTGCGAGGCGAGAAGACCACTTGAATTTTCGAAATCCATTTCAACTCGAAGCTCCGTACCACTCGGATTTCGCAAATAATAATTCACGGTAAATTCGAAGAATTCTGCGATCGCCCTCGTCTCGGGAAATCCACTTTATAGTTCTCCGGGACAAGTTTCGCGCTTAGATTTCCATTAGCCGTCGATTTCGCCACGCAGGAAAATCCGAACAGGCTTGGGAACGAAACGAGGGAAGCTCTGCGTAGCTTACGACCGGCTCTGAGAAGAATTCTTCGCGGAGCGGTTTCGTGACGTGCACGCGTGCCATTATTCTACGCGTCGCCCTTTTTCTCTTCGCTCCAGCCTCGAAGGTTGGATTTACGGCTTCGCGTGGAGCGAAATACCCTTCGACTCGTGGAAGCGTTTTCATCTGTCAAGAAATCTCGACGGTGGTCTCGATCGTGTCGTAGGCTGTATTGCGGCGGGAATACAGGCAAAGCGTGTTTGCTGCGCGAACATATATTATATTTTACACCGTTAACGAAAGTTCCAGTATACCGAGGGTGAATGAAAACACAGTGTCGACGATGTCGTACATTAAAATGCATGAACCGACTAACCCGTCGAGAAATCTTCACTTTAACACGGGCATTAATTCTTATCTAATAAATTATTCTGCAACGCGAAAGTTCCTACTTTTCCCAACGGCCGTGTCCCGCCGTCGGCTGCCTGACGCCGCGTTAAGGACACGTTATTGTACTTGCAGATTAGGAATGCCAGTATTTCGAGCGGATCGATCGATATTATACAATACCGAAGTCCGAACGCCGAGGCTGTTAATTATCAATATTCGAGGCACAGGTAGAGAACTTTCTATTAAAATTACGGTTACGATTGTAATCGTAATTATGATTACGGCGGACCAACACTGGATATAAATCAACGGACTTGATCCTAAAAATATCTCTAAATCACGTATACGATCTGCAAATTTGATTAATCCCCGAGTCATGGCCGCGAATGCGTACCACCCCCGCTGCCTTCCCTCCAAGTCGGTTTACGAAGGCGCAATAAACATGAATAAGGGCGCGAGGCGCATCCGTGAATTTTTGCAACGGAGCATGGTTATTTCGAAAGGCGCAAAGCTGTTCCGAGCGTGCAAATAACGGGAACGCAGACACGATTCGTAAGAGAATAACGATTCAAGACTTGGGCTTATCTATCTTCGGCGCCCGCGGAAATTACCTCGTATTTAGAGGTTTATGCATGTAGGCTGACACTTTATCGGGCTCTTGCATTGCTTCCAGGAATGCACCGGCAGCATTTGCCTGGCTTATGGCTTGGAATCCTGTCAGTGCATCGCCGGGCCCGAGGATCCCCCGACCAAGAGCTGCGAACTGTGTTGTAAATTGCCAGGAGAGGATCAACCGTGCCTGTGAGGGACGATCATTGTGCATACACGTTGTTCCGCGCGCGAATGTCTGCGTCAGTCGTTTCACTCTGGAACAGTTCCCCAGGAAATAGCACCGAGCGTGTTCCGCGAAGAAATTACATCGAGCGATAACCGTGCATCTCCGTTTGATCGATGGAGTCGGAGGCTAACTTTATAGATTCGCTCCGAAGTCGGCTCGTGGACTTCCACGCCTGTCAACGAAGACATTCGCTGAGCAAACTGTCCTTTGTACTTTAGCTTTGAGCTCAGGGACTATGTAGATTCGAAGACTGCAGAAGATCGAGGAGGAATTGAAAGATCAGGGATTAGGTGTTCGTTAGATTTCGAGTAGCCTCGCGTGGGATAATTGAAGCATTCGGGAGAGACCCCTTGATTCCTCTGTGTAATAAGATGAAGTTGAAGTTCAATGACATGGACAAGAGGGATTAGGGGATCAGGGTAGGGACTGAGGACAGTGATCGTTAACTTTTGCTCAGATGCAGACCTCTGGGAAGGTTAACCTCTTCAGGGACGATTATTTCTTTTCTTATCAAACTTTTGTTCTTTTCGTTGTTGACAGTAATTATAATTATAAAAAACTAAACGTTCACGTATATGGCCAAGGGCGCGAAGAGATTAAGTGAAACCTGACCTAACACGGCTAGGAATTACTTCCAGAACTGATCTTTCATTTCCACATCTATACACAGTGTTTGGCAGACAACATATTTTTTAAAATAAATTCGGCAGCAAAATTTTTGGCTTCAATTTCATTTTCGGGTGTAATTTCGGCTCTTAAGGCCTCGGACACCTGTTGCCAAACGCCCTGTACAATGTTTGCGAACGACAGAGGCAAACTGTTAGCTCGACTTCGAGAAGTCATACGAGACGTATCTCTTTGTAGATCATCCTTCGCCTGGAATTCAGCGCCGTACGATATTCCTGATATGCTGTCGAAGCCAGGCACGCCCTGCAACGATTACAATGGCTATTGCGACGTATTCCAGAGATGTCGAGAGGTAAGGTTATCTATTCAAGCTGGGAGACTGCACGGGGGACGCCAAATGCACTCGACACTTTTTCCATGGCATCGGGAATTTTATTACTGGTGAGGGGACTCCACGGAGCCCTCGCAGACTTTGTCTTGGGATACGAGGTATTATTTGAAATACATTCATAAGGCCCAATGACTGGGCCTGATGATGTATCCACAACTTCAGTGTATAGGATTATTATCAAGTTGCGAACATTTATAAATTTACGCCAAATTTAAATATACAAAAATATACGAGGATGTGGACAAATGCATAAATATATTAAATATAAAAAAACAATATACATGTCGAATTGAGTAACCTCCTCCTTTTCGAAGTCGGTTAAAAATAAAACACAGTTTACGGTATTTAGAAGTGAAAAACAGCAATTTAAATTATCCGCAGTCTAATTATTGCAATGGTGGTCAGTGGTGTACTTTCTCTATAAGGCCCCTCATAAGGCTCAAAAATGCTCAGACACGTATCCACTTATTTTCAATGCAGACTCATCGTGTTAAAAATGATACAAATCTGTAAAATATATATATTACGAGTGTCCCCCCAGACTGTCCCCGCTATAAGGCCCAAATTGTTAAATGTCTGGTTGGGAGGTGGTATCAATAGCGTCTTTCAGTGGTACTACCATACCATACTAAATAGATTTGTTCGATAACACTTGTTAATAATTTCAGGTGGACCCCAGTGGGCCTTTAGCGACACTGAGAAGATTGTTATTGTCAGACGCCAGTTTGGCAACCTTCCGACGATGGCTGACCGACTACTGGTACGTCGTCGCGCTCATTGGCTTGGTTCTGCTGTTAATCCCGGTGAGTAACGCGGTACAGTTGATTTCTTGCTCGGAACGCTTCGTGATCGTTCGCCCTTGGGCGAAATGCTTTGAAGTGATCCATCGACTCGACAGCTTTCCCAATGGAGCCGTGTGTTTCAAAAACAAATAACTCCCTCTCCCCAAACTCCGTGATCCGCGCGACCGACACAAGTTGAAAGTATGTTTTTTGCAACCTCGATGCATCTGCGTACGCCGAAAATACTGTTGACGCGTCGAATATCCATGTAAATCCAATTACGCGTCTTGTCAATTGAAAAGTTTCACTCCCGACCGGTGAAAGGCAACTCCGGTGACATGTTACACGGTTCTGTTTTTCTTTTTTTTTTTTTTTGTTTTTTAGCATCCTCGGGAAAAAATTGTAGTGCACAACGCACCCGGGAGAAATACAATTCAATTATACTCGACGTACCCCTGTTTCCACAGTGAAAGCCTGGGAAAACGTTTCGCGTGCTCTTATACGCGGAACGCGATCGAATGATAAATCAATCAATTCGATTTATAACTATAATCCATCTCTGGCCGGCTGGCGAAAACAGGGAGCGTGTATTTATTATTGAAATAATTAATTTTCGCGTGTCGTTCATTGCGCGCACGTCGGATGCTACGGTAAATTGAAACACGCGTTCCTCCGATCGCGAATCGCAGAAATGTTTTAAATAATATCCAATTGTCGCGAAATTAATGTGACTTTTAGAGTATACCCAGTTGTACTTCTCAGTCGGAATTAAATACATTTTATCGGGACATATCGAATCGTTAATAGCGATCGTCGGTGACGGAGTTTCTACGTTTGATCGTGGTTTGTCGCGACGAAAATGTTATCGGTTGATGGGAGCCATATGCCAGCGTGTATGGTACCTCCTAACCTAAATCCTTAATATTCCGTTGGCTGGATCTCGAAATGCGTGGACAAACATTATCATGCAACCGAATTACTCGGTTGCTGTTTACGAACGTCGGACGTTTGTCTGTTAACGACTGCTAAACACAACCCCAAACTGTTGACGATAAACATCTGACGTGATGGTTAGATTAGGATCAAGAAACTCGAAATACACAGTATGGCTTTCATGTTTCCATCGCATGACATTAGAGTGAATATTAGGTTTCAGGGTGGATCGATGAGTCTAATACTTCCCCCGACTTAAACAGAAAATAACCATTTTGTTGTTGGAATTGGAATCCTCTTCAAAAAGGGCTTCTCGAGTCGAAAGAATTCATATTGTTCTGGATAAAATCATGCATTGTCTGCGAATGTTTGAAGAAATTTAAATGAAAGTATGGTTCTGACTTCGAAATGTCATAATTTATTTTTATATTTTATATATTTATGCATTTCCTTACATCCTTGTCTATTTTTCTATGTTTTAAAATTTGTCATAAATGCATAAATATTTACAGTCCAGTCATGTATGTAGAAAATTATGTCACTATGCTATTTCATTCGAAAAACCTATTATTTTTGTAGTTTCGAACGCGTACTTTGTTTTTTAAATTCGTGGAAGTTGGCACATTCCCTCAGCGTATTATTTAGAAACACGGGAAATCATGAGAGCTCGAGACCCAACGCGATTAAATAGGGCTGTAGAAACGGGAGAACGTTAGTGAATGGCAATTAAGCGCGGGAAGGTGTCGCGCGAAATATATTGTAAATTCGATTCCACGCAACTTGGCCAACTTCCGACCTGCGCTGCCGCCAAAGCAGGTGGAAATTCATCCGGAGATAGGATTAAAGTGGCGACAGTAACGCGACGCTGCTACGAATTATGTTGTAAACCGTATCACGTGCGAGCTTCCTACGGGATAATGTAACGGTGAAGGTTTTCGAAAATATCGCTGCCATGAGAACGGTGTAATTGCAACTAAGAGAAAAATTACAATGTTTGAGCAAACATGTGAATAGTATCATGAAATATTCATGTTCTCATCATTTGTTGCTTCATAGATTTTCTGCATAAAAGCCTTGGTTGCAAAGCTACAACAGGCACAAGGTTATTGGACGACTCAGAACTCCCTCAAACAGCTTGAAACTTCTCGAAACCCCTTCCAAACATTTTAAATTTTCTTGGAGGCTCTTCGACTCCCTTCAAGCCTCTACAAACCTCCTCAAACACCTCCAAAAATCAAGCTACTCGACCGCGATACCTTCTACAAAAGTAATACAAAGAGCTAACCAATTTGTTTCATGCCCCAGGTGCTGTTGATTCGTCTCCTGCGGAAACGACGCAATCGTCTCGTGAAAATTCTGTCCACGCCGAGATCGACCCTCCAACCCCCCAACGCGAGCGATCCAATTCCCCAGCAACGGTCTTCGGCGCGCAAAATACAATCCATGGACATCTCGCGTCTGAAGAAGAGGATCGTCGAGACGATGAAGAGCCTAGCATCTCCGCGACGAAAGAAGGAGTCCTCCTCGCAGGGTAACACGTTCCTGGTGGGGATCTCCCGCCTCTTGGGTAGAGACTCGACTCGCCCGGGGTCCGAGGAACGATCCTCGAACGAGGTCGAGAAACTGTGCGACGCCAGAAACGAGGAAACGCGCGAAGACGCCGAGGGGAATGTTCCCAGGCAAAAACTCGGCTCTAGGAAAGAGACCAACGGCTGGAGGCGACTGTCTCTACTGTTCCTCGGCAATCGCGGTGCAAGTTCCTCCCCCACCCGAAGAAAATCGAACAACGGCGAATCGATGCGCGTCGCGGCTTGGAGAAGAAGCGTGCAGGTCGAGAAACTGTGCAACACGTCGAAGACGATCGTGAACCCCTTAAGCGGCGCCTACGGTTATCAAACCGAGCCTCTCGTGGTGCCGGACACACCCGACACACCTGGGGAAACGTCTGAAGCGAGAACCCAGACGTCTGATCGGACCGAGTTGCTGGCAGACAGTTAGTTCTGAAGAGGGACATTGAACTCTGACCCACTCTGTGGAAACGGTGTTCTTTCGATGCGTTCGAACGTTGGCCGAGATACAAGTGTCTTTATCTTTTAAGTTGCAAGGTGGTGAGTCTAGGGTTTCCGTTTTTGTCGCAGTCTTGTCGCTTCAAAGAGAGATCCACCGTATTTCTGCTATCATTGAAAAAACAATCATGAACCTGTTTACTGGTTTCATTTTAATACAGTAACTTCCGTTTTGAAGATTCGATTTCCACCCCAGATTCGAGTGACTTCCCACTATTCCTGTGTAAGTGTGAGAAATCTTATCGCCCTAAACATGCTCGATTTTGTCACTTCGAAAATGGATCTACTGTACCAGTAATCACCCGCGAAAATTCGATTCTTTTGTTTCCCTGTTTGATTGCCTATCGAAGCCCAACGCAACCATTCAGACAATCTCTCCGTACTGTACAGAAAACTTCGGGTTCGATTTTGCGTTAACGGAAGCCTCGGAGTGGTTAACCGAACTGTGCACCGCGCCTAGGTCTAAGAAGACAATATTTGATCTCCACTTGCGAGATGAAACGATCGATCCCGTCGAGAATGGGACGCGACTAGCGTCGAACTCCGCGTGTAAATATTGTACAGTCTCTTATACCGCTGTCGCCGTAGATTAGTTTCGAGAATTAAGGGGTGTGTGTGAGAGGGAAGCTCGCGAAAGTTTGCGAAGCCGAGTGGGTTCTTGTAATACGTGTAGCCAGACAGCTCTTCGCATAGAAACGGACCAAATATAGGGAGGAAGGGGTAAGATCGTCCAGCGCTGAACTCGTAGATATGTGTATATAAAGGAACGATTGTTACTGTACAATAAATCGTATGTTATAATATATTATAGATTCCCTACCAGCAAGATATACTTGTAATACACGTGTATATGGATTACGGTGATTTTCCCCCATCCTTTTGGTTTGGTATATAGTTTATTTCTTTCATCAATGTTTCAGCCATTTTAGGGACTTTTCAAGGCATAGAATGTAATAGTTAGATTTGTATCATGAAGACTGTATAAGGAGATCCAACTCCCTAAGAAAGTTACTAGAAAACTGTTATCGAAATCCCGAACTTGAAGTTATGAGTATTTCGTCCACTCGCGGCCCAAGTGCGCACAGACTACGATATATATATATGTCATATTTGTATGATAATATATACACATATGACATATATATATCTTAGTCTGTACTCACTTGCGCCGCAAGTGGTAGAAATGTTCATAACTTCAAGCTCGGGATTTTGATAACACTTCTACACTACACAGTTAGGACTCCTTATACAGTCTACATGATTTGTATTAATACGAACAATACCTAATAATGTATACAGCAGCATCTAATTTGTAAGCAGCGCCAATCAATCGCAATACACTCATTCTGCCATCACTGTCGGTATAGTGGAGCGGGAAATGTAGCATGACGCTACAAGAATAATGTATATGATGCCATCTAGCCATTAAAATGAGAACTATTCGAGGACCAACTTAGACGTTTTCCCAATAGAGGCACTGATTATAGGTCGGCATCTTAGTTCGGTCTCTTCACCGCTAGATATCACGTCACTGCCCAGTTTCCTTCTTAGCAGCCATTAGTCCAAGTATTAAATAATTATTTATTTAATATTTATTCTGTCTAGATGTTTCATATTGCGTCGAAAATCATAGTTGATACAACAAATAATATCCTGAGCGTTAAAATAAGTTCTTAGCAAACAAATTATTTATCAGGATTTTAATTAATCTTTTACCGTGTTATATAAAAAAAAAAACGTAACTCCATTTATGAGAAAAATGCTATTACTCGTGCATAAGAGTACACGAACAGCCGTGATTTGTTGTGGGAGAAAGTAAGAATCAGAAATTATTGACACGAGAACCAAGTATGATCCTCGTCGGTGATTTAATGTAAATTAACCTACGCGACCTCGTGTGATTGGCGAAATGTCATGGCTGCGCTCGAGTGTAAATACTCCTTTTACGAGATATCGATTTTTCTCGATTCCCTCGCCGTTGATCGACCCGCGATATAGGTGGCCATAGACACGTGTCGAGTTGCATTTTGCATGCGTCTTTACACGCACGGTTTGTATCGAAACATGTACTACGTCAGATTAATTTGCCTTGTCTATACGTACAGTTACCGTCTGCTGGTCTACTTTGATAACGATTTTTGGAAAAATCGGCGGAATTTTATTCGAATAATGGAGCACGAATGGAAACTCAGTATACCGATTTATTTGCCCTGATTCTGAATAATTATTCGGATAATATTCATATCAAATTCATTAAAAAAATCGCTCCAATTGAATAAAACAAAAATGAATAGGAACATCTTAATTTTTAACTAAAATAGTTCAAATTGAACGAAATAAAATAAAAATTGCGTATCTCCCTGTTACGAGTGCAGAAATTTTCTTCTTTCTTCAAAAGAATATCGTCATTTATGCGACAGGATTATTTGCGAAACATTAACGATGCGTTTTAACATTACGTCACTTGACGACTTTCTACGTCCTCTTCGTGATACTGTTATAAAAATTTCCTCGACATTTAATCACGTGAAAGGAATCTTACGAGTCCCGGAGTTAACACTCGCGTAGATCATGCTCTCTCCCCCGATTCGAGAAAAAAAGGATTCCGGAATCTCATGCGTCGCGTTAATCGTGGCAATAATAAATTGCCAGGTTTCGATTCGAAAGCCGCGCGATTACGGTGCGTATTTTCGCTGCGTAAATCAAATTCGCTTCCGTAGGGATCGGACTTTGAAACTTTACAGTCCCTGGCATTAGAATTCAGAATATGCAAACGAAAGTCTAATGGTTCTGCGCTTTGTAATCCTTTATGCTTGCTATTAAGAATCGTGCTACAAGGAAGCCATGGAAGATGGCGACGAAGTAACGAATCAAGGTCACATTTGAATCGCTCATCCTTCGTCACGGGATGACTACCGATAACATCCGATTTCGCGATTCTAAGTATCACACGAAGGCTATGGAAACGCGAAACAGTTACAGGATTTGCCTCGCCAATTGTGAAAACTAAGCTATCTCGATTTGTTTCGCACTATTCATAACGAACGACCAACTTTAGATTGTATAAAGTCTGCAATTTCTGGGACGAGCATAATTAACGGGTTTTTGTGGCAGAGGTCGACGGAATAAATTAAGTAATTGCAGATTCGATTGATCTTTAGAGTAATGATCTTTATCTCTTTTTTTTTTTTTTTGAGTACACTTTTCAATTTCCTGCAAAAATATAAGTCACGATCTGGTTCACACGGCCGTGAACGACGATAACTTTTCCATTCGCCACTCAAACAATGACCCCTGATCGACGCTATTATTTTCGTACCGTTACGTTGTTCGACCTATTTGCCGAGCTAATAAAACGATAATAAACCGTCAGCTGTTCTTCCGCGATACCACTTGCTTTTTCGACGTCGGAACACATAAATTTCCCCCGCGATCGGTACAGTTACTCCTCCGTAACCGATTAATCGGTCCGCAAACCCCTTCGCGAAGAGACAACATTTCCCCGACGTTTCGTTGCGTTATGCTCGATCGTCGAAGGAAGTTCAATCCCATCAAAGTAACGGCTTACGACGATTACCCTGGCAATACGCTCTGAAACTCATGGAAACGAGCTTGCGTAATTCCACGTAACGTACCGCGGCGTCTAATCGCGAGGTAATGTCCCGGGAAGAAGATAGGGAAAACAGGAAAAGGACACGTGCGGGAATGGAGTCACGGTAGAACGCCGCCGAGAAAGTAAATGGTTCGTCGTGCAACGTAAAATCAACCGTGACAAAGATGACACGGCCTGTTTTCCTTACGATCAGGCATCGGGAAAATCGGTCCTCGTTATTTCAGCTTAACTGAACCTTGGAAAAATTAATTTCTGAAGTAACCAGAATTTTGAAACATGACTCTTGTAGGCTGCAGAAACAGGACACCAAAAAAATAGGACACTAAGGTCCTAGATTCTATATCATCAGAGCACTAAGACACTGGAAGTATCAAAACACAAAAATATTAAAACACCAGAAAACCAACACACCAAACACCAAAATATTAATATATTAAACTATCGCACCATGAACATACAAGACACTAATCCCCAAAATTCCCAATCATCCCTAAAAATTAAAAATGCCTCATTTAGATATTAATATACTTAAACACTATAATACGGCTAAAATATACTCAATCCTCAGAGAGTCAAAGCCGTAATTTGTAGCAGTATACGGACGTCGTGTTCCTTGCGTCACACTTCAGCATCGACATAAAATATCCTTCAAACAATGGCACAGAAAAATTCCATAGCTTCCCATGCGTCGAGGTAACTGTACAAACAACACGTTTCAATCGTGTACGCCTTAAGTGAATTGTCTCGTCGTTTCCGCTCCTACGGCGAAACTTCGAAACTATTTTTCTGTCGTTCGTCCTCCATCTTTTTTCCTTTCCCACCTCAGCTTTTTTGCTTTTCAACTGTGAGATCCCGTTGGATTTTGCTCGCGTAACATGTTTGCCATTCCCCGGAACCGGAGAGGAGCGCTCGTGCTCGATCCTTTGCATCTCGTTTCGCGTAATCGCTCACAGAGGCGTAAATTAGTTCTGGTTGGCTCGGTGGGAGTTTGAATCTTAATTTATGTCCACAGGCTACGTGTGAGTTTAGGAATTCGGGGAATCTTATTTATCAGCCCCTTAAGTTTCTTATTTTCATACTCGTATATATACAGTTTCTCGTCAGTCGTTTTTAGAAAGTCCTCGATCTTCTTTGGTATGCTTCCAGGAACACGAGGATCGAAAATTTTCAACAATTTTTAGCAAGTTGTGGACTCTTAAGGATATCGAACACCGTAGCGCTGAAATATGCAAAAATACCATAAATTCTTTTTTTATTTATATGCTCGAGTGGACGTTGGCACATCTCATAGGACTACAGTTAATCGAACTCCTAATTGCACAGTAATTTGTGCCAGCTTTAACAAGCTATAGAAGTCCTGCACAGTGCGCAACAATACTTTTCGCAATTCTGATACGAGCGACCAATTTGCCGCGCCCCGTCCATGACAGCGAGTCATTATCCACTTCAAGCAAATTTCTCTCGATGACCAAAGATGGCCAACCCTTTTTTTTCGAATAATAGATGACGAATAGAATCCATGTACAATAATTTACTTGCGACGTTCGTTCGATCGAGCAATTGAATTTTTATTTAGTATAGAAATATTTATTAGTAAGCATTCAGTTCTTCAGAAGGTTACAGTGTTGGTTACTTTTATATAAATGTTTATTTGTTCGTGTGATTCGAATTTGAATTTCAATCGAAAGTTCGTAATTTAAGGGAAGTGACCTTGAACAACCAATCGATTTAGTCACTATAGTTGTCTCCGATCGTGGCTTTTGCACTTAGCGCAGCTCGTTAGCATTCGCGTTTTGTGACGGCGGAGGTACGTATGCTCTGCAACATACCTTTGTAGATGGGATTCTATACCGGGTAACCTGAATAAATAATACACCTGAAGAGAATTTATATGTGGGGTACAGCTAGAACCTATTCTCGAACTTAACTTTACGGTTAGTCCCACAAATTATATAACAAGATTACAAAATTTATTCATTGGCTAGAAAATTGCCAAGCTTTTAAATCATACTAAGACCTAACGTCAAATTTACTTTCCTAAAAAATAATATACACCTGAAAGTATAAGAATTGTGTATAAATTGAAAACGAGTTCTATTTTACTATAAAATATATGAGTTTTCTTTATAATACTCATTTTGATTGAGAACAAACTTTAACATTTGATTGACTATCTCGTGATTATATTTACACCGTTCGATCCACTGCTTTCAATTTCCAATTTCGCGCCTTTTTAATTCTATTCGTTCGCACATCGAGTACATGCAATCCGTCCTTGCGGATCGTCTCGCATATTAACTGACCTGAATAAATGATAAAGATGAATGGCGAGGCTCGCTTTTAGCGTTGCCTTTCATTTATATTCTACGATTGATTCTAATCCACGCGTCGCGGGCTAATGCAATCCCCGATTGCAAACACCTCCCTCGTACGTTCTCGAACTGTATAATCAGATACGCTTATTAATAACGTAAGGAAAAATAAAGATAATATTTCCATTCGATTACCCCTGACACAGATTAATCAATTTTGATTGACACAAATGGGATCTGCAAGAGTCAGACTTTTGAAAAATCGAGGATTCATTAGTGATTAGTAAATGAATAGACCGAGAACGCTGAGAAGATTACAGTTTTATGTTTCTCGAACCACTAGTGGCTCAAAAGATCCTTTAAGAGGATTTCCGTCATTTAAACCTTTCCAAAACTAAGCATACATCAGTGAGCACTACTCGAGTAGACCAAGGAGTAAGCCAAACTGTTAAGTTCGTCGAGTTCCTATCAGCAGAAAAATCCTCCATTAAGATCTCTAAAGGATTCATCGACGATGATTTGAATTCCACGATTAATACAAGAACCACTTCGCTAACTAGACCAGAATGTAATTTATCTGGGCCGTATGATCGAAATGTATCAACGCGATGGTGTGAGCCAGTTAATCATGCTTCATATCCCTGGCTATTGAAAGACACTCCTCGGCGCTTCAATTCGTAATCATTTATCATCGATTCGAGCTGCAACATCGGCGGTCTCGTTCGTTTTATCCTCAATTTTGCCGCAATATGTGCCGGCCTGGAACTTTCGCTGCCATTCGAGCCGCTAGCGGCGCATTGCTGAAGACTCTGATCCCTGCCAGGGGATAAGTGTGCTATTTTATTTTCGCCCGTACGCCGCGGGGTGTATCATTGCCGATACGTGATATATTTCGTGTTGTATCTTTCCCCTCGGCGTGCGCCTGTGTGCAGCTATGCTGCGGTTTGCCGTCAGAGAACGCGTTGGCCTATAATTTGAAACCGTAAAGGCGTGTAATTCGAAGATCGGCGCGCGCGATTTGTCGCTGATGCGCACGCAGCTCCGACGCTGGAACCATTTGCAAAAACATACCGTGTCAATAGGTGAAGGAATTTCACTACTTTTCGCGGTCTGAATACCTTAAGAGCATGCAGAAGAATAAAAACGATTTTGTCGCAAGTTTGTTGTTGGGTTAGGTCTGGATTTGTCGTTGAATCGGGTCTAGATTAGTTCTTGATTCAAAATTGAACGCATCCTAATCCAACTCTGGCAAGAGCAGGTGGACAAAAACGACTTTATCATAGATTTCTTATTAGGTAAGGTCTGGATTTGTTGATGAATTTGGACTAACTACATCCCTTAGCTAGTTCTGAATGTTGCATTGGGTTATATCTGGGATGGGTCTTCATTTAAAATTGGTTGTACTCTGACGTAACCAAGACGAGAATTTTCTCAAAATTTCTGCAATCACTAGGTGTCCAAACAACTATATCTCGAGACCCAACAGTCTCTTAACAGATCGGTATCCTGTTCGTTGACCTGTTCCTCCACGAAGGAGGCGTCCTTCCTGGTCGATTGAGCAACCTGTTAACAAAAAGAAGCAACTGCGTGGAAGGATGTTACGCAGCGTTCGTAGGAAAATCGAAAACTTTCTACTCCGGTATGCGGCGCGATCTAACGGAATCGGTCCAGCAAGAAATAGAGTCATTACAGATCGACGAGGCTCCGACGACCCTGGTTGAAATTATCGTGTGACGCTGATGAATATGAATTCGTCCTTCGACGGGCAAGAAATTATTGAAGCTGCAAGAGGGGTTTTCTATAAATACGTTTTTACGACTGGCGTTTAACGCGCGCGGTATTTATGAATTATGGATGGCGCCGCGCGCAGCCGAGTGAAAAAATTGTTAAACCGGCTCGCTTGGGCGTTTAATTTTCACGCCTTACGCGTCGAGGTGACGTTTTGCCCCGGTTTGTTGACGTTGCCCGTTGATGAGTCGCGTTGGACGTTTTTTACCGTTGGAATAATATAGCGATCCGTGGGTTCCTCGATCGGATAATCGGATTACGAGAGCCTGATAATGTCATTCCCCCGACGGCGATGGATAAGCGATCCTGAACGCTCACGCATCCACCTTTGCAGAATCCTCTTCTTCGATTCTCGATTAATAAGACCACACACACCGGAGTCTTCTTCGGGGAGCTTAATTGCTTTAGGCGCACGATCTGACTGGTCCGGCTTGCGCATGCTTATCTGCACGCGAGGACCCTCTGCTGGGAGCGTTTTCTAAAACAGCATGAACGCTCGATGGTGCCGTAAACAGCGGCTTTCAGTTCGGCTTGCTCTGGCACGAAGGTATCCTGGACGTTTGAGAACTGATAGATGGTACGATTCAATCATCATCGGGTAGACTGATCCTTGGAAAGTTTAATGGTAGGGGTCGCTGCTTTAGAATCAAACGATATTTGCTTAAATGAGCTTGAAAGACTCCGGTCGTATCGTTCCGCAAGGAGTGACTACGAATATGGCTACCTAACCTAGGCTAATAGCATCTTTTACTGTGGGTTGCTCTATAACTTTCAATTCTTCTGAAAGCGTGCTAGTAGCAGTTTCGATATTACAGGATCACTAGCATCTGCACGAGCCCCTCATGGACCTCCACATTTGACGATGGAGTAGGTATTTAATATAAGCTACGGGGAGGGGGGGGGGGGGAGCTAGAGAATACCAACCATGATTTTGTTTGTCTAAACGAGGTGTAGATAAACAAGACTACGAAATTTAGCTCTGTAATAATAAAAGTGGAGTAATCGATGTCTAACAAAACACAACAAAAGTAGAGAAGTAGTCCCTGTCCTACTTGGAGGCATCCTTGGCTGCACCCTTCAGTCTGGAGGACAGCTCGTTAATCGGTACACCCTGTAGAGGCACCTCGCATCGGGTTAAGCGAGTCGAAGAGTATCTATATAAACGCGTAGGTGGAGGGGGGAATGGTCCCCGCTGGAGGCCTCGCCGGGACCGCAGAAAATCTTATTGGGGGACCGTTTGAAGCCAGACAGAGAAGATCGCGCACGGAAAGCCGAGGAGGAAGGAGACTAGCAAAAGAGGGACCGAGATGGCGCTAGGTGAGTCGTGTCTGGAGGAGGAATCGTTCGTATGGGCCTGCTGGGTAGTCGTAGTGATGGGACCGACTCGATGCTTATCGGTACGAAATTCTGCGAACCTTACCCTATAGCATTGACCAGACATCAGACTATTACAATTTTACAGAGAAAATTTATTTGAAATAAATTCACTTCGAATGATAATATTTGATTATAGATACACTTGTCAGACCATGAATTATTCTTATATATTTTTATTTTATCAAGAACCATGGCTGGTATTTTTGCTGTCTTTGTTTAAACCTATTCTTTAAATATAGCCTATAATTATTAATATAGTAATTTATTCGACAATGCTCCCAAAATAAAGTGTCAGAATATCCCCTACAAAGCTAACCATCATACTCAATAATTTACCTCGATCATATTAGCCAAATCCTCCCAGCGACGATTACGAGGTCCATAAAATAGTGGAGCAACCGTCTCCAGCCGCGTGTTGTCTCCATCGCTAATCAATGGGGCCCCTTACTACCTGCCTGGCTTAACCTGCCATCCTCATGTGGGGGCAACGCGGTGAAGAGACTAAAACAGGCAGGTAGGGAGCCGAGGAGTCGGTTGGGTAGGGAGAAAGACAGTGAAAGAGGGAAAGGAGAAGGGGCCCGATTCCCCCACCACCGTTAGTACTTCTCCGTCCCACCGATAGATGGGTCTCCGTCGCGCCGGGCCCCGGGACTAAAATTCAGGACAGAAAACCGTCCGGTTAGTTGGAGCCTGCTGGCAGAGAACGCGCGTTACTGCCGATCGCGAGTCGATCTGGGCAAGGTGTGGCGGTTCATCCGTAAACGAGAGAGAGGGAGGGGAAGAGAGCGGAGAAGATCGAGACCCGTCGAAACGGGCATTCGAAACGAGCGAGAGAGGGAATCCCTCGACAAAGGACAGAGACGCAGCCTCGACGAGTAGCGGTCGTCTTTCTCCCTCTATTTTTCTTTCTCTCTCCCTCCGACCGCTCTGGCTGGCTTTCTCGCTTGCTCCACTCTCCTTCGTCCGCGTTTCACTCGAGTTCGTCGCCGAGGATCTCCGCCGCGGAGTCAGTATCCCGTGATGGTTAGGTGAGCGCGAAACGACTCGCGCTGCGTCGTTGACAAGTGAACGATCTCCTCCTTCCCCCTCTACCCCGCCAACGGCTGAACGTTTCCGCGCATTTTTCGTGCAGAATTCGCGCCGATACGTAGTCCCCCGAGACGGGCCTAGTTTGCGCGATCCCCTCTCCTCGGTAGACGGTGGGTCCGTCGGGCCCCGACGGCGCGACGACAGATACACCGCGAGCGTGGAAAAGTGCTCGGTCCTCGCGCAGCTGTCAGATATCAACCGAGCCTGCTTCTTTATCGGTGGTGCGCGGCCAGGTTTCGTGTGCACGTATACGAGAGGTGTGCGCAAAACACGTACGCGACCCACGCTGCACAACTTGTTCCTCTGCCAGGCCCCGAACCCAACGACCTGCGTGCAACGAAGGCCCGTTGACTGCACGGCCGTTGCTCAATTTCTGCGAATAACCGCCGCCGGCGCTGAACACCACGCACCCATTTGTTGGCGGTCAGTTTCTTTGTACTTTTTCATAAATTAATCCTTCATTTACTATTCGGGCCCGCTCGAAGAAAGTTTTGGAGTCGCGAGACGCCCGGGTTGTTGCGTATGGCTCGTATTTGGGTAACAGGTTCTCTGGTGGCCATATACAGTCCCGGGGGTATATTGAGAAATTTATGGTGATGATACTATTCGAGGAATTGTTTTCAAATTTTTGGCACGTATTTAGTGATCACTGAAGGATACGTATGAATATTTATGTAGCGATACGGTTATTAGTGTCTTTGGAAATAATTGTTTAAGATGGGAGTACAAAATATGTTTGACGCATAGGTTGGAATAAAAATAAAGAGATATCGCTTTGATATGTCGTGGTAAAGAACTGATTACGCAGAAATATGTAAATGTTTTGAAATATAAGGCGTAGTGGGATCGAGTTAATCGTGTGTTTGTGAATCCGAATCCTAATCGATGATCGAGCATCGTGACACTTGAACCACGTAATACTTGTATACATAAACTGACAATTCATTCGATGAGTTCGCAGCATAGCTGGTATAAAGATATTTTAGAATTTTTAAATAGTTTCAAAATAATTTGAAATTTTGTTCCTTCTATTCGTGGTGAGTGGTGGAGGGTTATTTCTCTGACAAAAATAAATCAAAATTTAAAATGAAATACGAGTATATGTACACATATATCGAAGGCTTCGAATAGAATTTAAACTTATGCGCGCTGCGCATGCGCACCCAAGTAGCTTCCAAATTGATGTTCTTAAAAACAGAAATCGATACAATATCCATTTTCTTTTTCATTATTTATTTAGGAAATATAGTAAGATCCTATACATTATATTTCCATATCAATTGATGAAGAATGCCAGTAATTGTTAACTTTCGACTCTAGTTACAATTACTGTAATTGTTCCGTGAGATAACAGTAAAAAGTTTAAATGCCTTTTACAGGATTGAAAACCCCAGATTGCGCTATGATACAGTGATAAACTCAGCGAAGCTAAAGAAATTCAGATTTAATTGCTTCCGTTTGGAGCGATGAAAGCGAGAGATTTGAAAGTTGTAATTTTCATTTGCTACGATTATAAACGTTGCGTCTAATTGAAATTCTGACAGAATTTTATTGTCCATGTCGAATACACAAATCTCGTTTTATTTGAAAAATCCTTTCAACAAATATTATGCAATGACTTTTGTAAATAGTTGACTTCATGGTACGTTCTTTTGCATACTTTAAAAAAGAAACGCCGAGTAACACTTTCCCGCTACATTTTTCACTACATAGTAATCTTAATCGTTATTTAATCGAGACGGTCGAACTATTGTATTTTTATGGCATTTAAACGATCATAATTTTCCCTTTCCAGGGCAGCCCCTTCTCGCCGCAACGAGCAATTAGTGTCACCATTATACTCATGAATACTAAACAACGTGTAAATGAAGCTTAATCTTCTTTTTATATCCATTTTTCTGTCGTTGGAAAAATATAAACATAACGTTTCCTTCTTTCGTCGTGTGTTTTTCTTCGATTCGACGAACCAGTGTGTTTATAATGAGCGTCCCATCTTGAAAAACAAGTAGCAATGGCTCGCGTGAGATTGACATTGATCTTCGCGCGACAGCTTCCGGTTCCTGGGATATTTTCGCTTCGAACACACCATCGACGCGACGCGCAATCGGTGGGAACCGATTCCTCGCAAGGCGGATAACGTAGAAACGGGTTTAAGCGTGAAAGTAATTGAGGAAGTGGATGAACAGACAAACTGTTCGTGTTCAACGCGGGGCAGGAACGGTATTAAGTTTACCTTGCGGAAAATCGGTCTTCTCGCACCGAGGAAAACCTCTGGACAACAACAATTACCCACACCGTGTATCACGTGACGATTTCTATTTATCAGAGCGCAATAATGACAACAATTTGTTTGCCTTATCGTGGCGGAATCGCCAGGCTCGTGTCATCTTGTTAGTTACCATATGGTTAAAAGTGAGAATATTATTCAGATATTTTATTCTATAAACACGAAACTTTAATATATGTTTGTTAGGGTGAAAAATGTCTGTCCTCGATCTCTATTCTTGCCTTTCCAAATTCGTTTCTTTGAAGGGGCACATGAGCGAATTATAGAACCGTCTTAACACTCATAAAGACGTTATCAGATAAATAGCATTTGGAGCACTGTCCTCCCAAGATTTTAATTGCCAGCTGACCGTTTAATAACTGTTCTCGGTAGTCAGTGATCCGTTACACGAGCAAAAACGACCATGAAACAATCCTCAGAATCCCGAAGAAATTGCTAGGTGACATGCAAAATGTTACACACACAGGATGCCTCGGTAGAAACAGACCACCTTAACACCGAAAACCGCGCGAGACTCGTCTAAATCTCAATTTTGATGAATCATATTAAAACTTTACATACCTAGAAAACAATACACACTTATGAAACTTCCTCCTTCATGAATAATACTGGAATAAATTACTTTATTTCATTATTACCAACTTTAAATGAATTAGATATAAATGAATCTCTGTTGAAAAAATTATGAATCTAGTACGACTCAATTTGTAAAAAAAAAAAAAATCAATTTATTTCATTATTATTCATTTTGAGCGAGTTATATAGAAACAAATCTCTGTCGACGAAAATTATGAACCTAGTACAATTCAATTTGAAAAACCCACTTGGCTAACAAAATTATTTGTTTCTGTGCAGGCAGTGAGTGATGGCCCTGCGTTTGAGGAGCAGCAAGGATGTCAAGAAGAGCTCGTACTACGTTTGGTACCTGGGCGCGAGGGAGGCCAAAGGGGTGGACGCGATGCCCGGTGCCATAGCTTACCTGCTCGAGCGGGAACGACTTCAGGAGCCTTTCAAGGTCACGCTGCAGGTGAGCGGTACCATTACGAGATCCGGTTTCGTAGCACGGCCGAAAATACCGCGAAAAAGGGACAATTAATTGTCGCGGTCGGAAGGGAGGCGCACGGTCGCCTATTCAACGTGTTTCATCTCCCTCTTTCGCGCTCTCGCGGGCACGGCCACGGGTGGCAGTGAAAGCAGTCCGCAGGGTCGAATAAAAATCACGAATTTAATACCTCAGCCTACATACAGAATTCGTCAGGCCTCGACCTGCTCGCGGACGGTTATCAGCTTCCTCGAGAACGCTCGTAATTTACTCGACCCGAAATTGTTGCGACAGTGGCGCGCCCAATATTTTTCATGACGCTTTACACAACTTCCCAGGAAAATTAGAGAAAAAGTTTGTTTGACTTTTTTGTGTAAAATTAGATACTCTTTGAGATTCGTTTGGGACGTTTTCTTAAATTATTACGAATATCGGGTACATGTTAGGAAATAACGAAATGGCGTAAGAGGTGACTAAAGTTATTCGTAGACCGATTTGGATCGAAATGTGGTCAGATCATTAGATGGGAATACGAAACGTAAATACGGAGTTTCGTTGGAATATATTCGGTGTAAGTATTAAATGTGGAGTGCCCAATATTTTTTGGTAATTGTACCATCTCGGGACGCCACTGCAGAAGGAACTTCAGGTGGGGCCTCGAATTAACGACGGGGACGACCTTCTGAAACTCACACCGAAATCGTGATATGTAAATTTTACGACGGCCAAGGTGATGGCTAAATTTCACGCTGGAATCCATGTTCTGCTGAAATTGATAGAGGTGGAATGTGCTCAAAAAAGTGGTCAATAATGTGAGCCTTAAAACTCTTTCGATGTAGACATCTGAAGTTTACGTGAGTCTCGTTCTCATCTCGATTTAAGGTTCAGAATTTCGATAACCAATTTTCAAAGTTACATTGGCGCCTCGCTTAACGTTCTAAAATTGTTGTACCTCGGAAGGCACGCCACGTGCATTCAGGCGGGAAAATTCGAAAACGATTCAGTTTCAGGTGAATAAACCTCTAACGTTAACGAGATGGTTCCAAGAGGAAGCGATTTGTACGAAATCAATTCGCTGGAAATTAATAAGCAACACCGGCGGCGTTTAAGGTAATTAGATAACCGCAATAATAAATCCGTTGACCTGAATCTTATAGAAACGGGCACGCCGCTAATATATCCGGTGAGTTCGATATGGGAAAGAGAAAATAAAATGGACGACACCGAAATTGTCCCGCGACCGTTACGCACGGGCATGTTTGCTCGACATTCCCGTTGCATGTCAATTGAAATGTGCAAAGGGGGTTGCATGCCGATTTAAAAACGCCTCATTACTCATGGTTCCAGCCGCACGAGGCAAATTGCCGACACGGTATTCGCGTGCACGAAATCCGACGCTTGGGAATACGTATCCCTCGACCAGTTTGTTTTTATACTCGGATTTTCGATCGATTACAGCCTCGATGCACTTGTCGAACATAACCTCAAATGTAACCAGTACATTATTTACTGTATCGAGAGGATAGATGAGTAACATTATCATTTTTCTACAATCCTACTAGATTTTTATGCATTTATGGGAAATTTGAGTGTGCTAAAAACTACAAAATGCACACAGAGTGCAATAATATAAAAATCTATTGAAAGTAAGGTGCATATTATAATATTTGCAAAGTAAAATAAATTCCTGTTTAGATTTCATTTTTGTAGGTGAAGATTTTGTTTGGCATAAAAATCCACAGTATATTTATAACGTTTCTATTAAATATTAGGTCGGGCAAAAAGCTTGGTTTGTGGTCATAGAAAGATCACAGAACAAAATGGTCAATTTGTTACAGAGGAAATATGTCTCCTTACCCCTTTTGGCGAACCTAATACGCCAAGAGTGAAAGTTTCCATTTTGTTCCTTTGTTTCCTTTATTTGAAACATAAACAGAGACGTTATGAAATAAATGAAACTGCAGAAGCAGCGAAATTTAGAGCTCATTCCGTCAGAGTTTACATACATCCAGCGTGTTGCGTAAAGAATTGTTCGCGGACTCGCTGCCATCGAACTTTCGCAAGCATAAATTTGTCCACGAATTTTAAAGCGACGCTTATCGAACGTGGTTCCTATTTGTCTTTACTGATCTCCCATCAGCAGAGGAATCTACGAAATGCATCTCACGTCCGAACGGGGGCCCCCCCCTCGTTACTTTTCGCGCGTTTAAAGTCATGCGAACACAAAGGTGTCCTTATCGCGACGTCGTGATCTTAATGGATGCGTCTCGAGAGGGATTTAGTCGCCGTGCACGCTCGTCGTTCTCTCGAAAAGAAGATGTGTTACGAAATCACGAGACCCGCCTAATTATTGTGTAAGTGCAATTGCTGGGGAGTTGCGAGACGGCTCGCCTTGAGAATATTTTAGCACCCCGAATTTTCGCGAGGATCGTGGCTGGTCTTAATGGACAGTCTCTCGGTGGGACGAAAATTGCGCGTTATTTTCTGCGGTCAATTTCGTGTAAACCACAGACGCGAGGACAGGTGGTCGTTTCTTGGCACATTTCGAGTACGAGCGCGATTTACCGCGCGGATTTTGTAACTTCGCTGAAATCGCGCGCGCCATCTTGCTCCCTGCGCGCGCAGCTCGAAGAAATGAGTTATTTTCGGAACCAATGAGCGTGCAATCTTCTTTGGTCCACTAGAATATGGCCTTTCAACGACTGTGCTTAGATAGGTATCGTTTCAGCTTCTTTATTCAAAAGGTAGAAAACTCGTACCCTTGTGAAGCAAGCTGAATATATTCCTCAAGTTTGGTATTTTATGGTTTTCTTGGGAAAGTAGCCAGAGGATCTTCCCCACATTTTTCTACTTTCTCTAACGGAGATTCACACTCCACATTTTTTCTTCTACTGATTCGAGACTTTAATAGCGTGAAATGTGAAGGATAGGCTGGAATTATTCATTAAAATTGTAACTTCTCCTCGATAAATTTTATTATTTTGCCCAAAGATGGTCTGTGCTTTGCGTCATTTTGTTCTCGCGATCATCGCGCGCCAAAAGTGGCCGATTACTCACCGAATTCATAATTGGGTCCCTGATGGTCGCCATTGAAATATCCGCTGTGGTAATTCGAACGCCCCAGGGCCAACGATAATTATCGATACACGTTTTTTTTTTTTTTTCCTAAAAGCGCCCACCTGAAACAGAGAAAGTTCTATTTTTGTAATATCATGTTCGCTTTCATCGTTCCGCTATTATTATTTGCTTTCGAAAAGGAAATTAGGTTTTTAAGCGTGCCTATGAAGAATATAATACCGTTCCAGGGAAAGTCTTTTCAATGATAAACGAGCATGAATTTCAAGTTGTTCGTCTATCTGTGGAACCTGCCCCACCCACTCATTTAAATTAACTACTGATATTAAGTGTATAGGCAGACAGATTACTTGAAAACTTCCTTGAACTCCAATATCGAGCCGGTCCTTGACTTTGGCATTCAATTAGATATCGTTTTACGTTATTTAATATCGTGTGGCTATCTAGTCACAGTCTGTGAGTTCTACGCGCTGGAAAAAAGTCAGGAGAAATAATAGCGAAGGCTGTTGCGTTTGATAAAATGGATTGTCGCGGTGTACTGTTAAGTAGCCTGAAAATTACAGTGGCAGCCATGTTGGAATTGTCTAAAACTGGTAGAGACGAGAACAAAAATTCAAAATATTGTTTTATAATTGTCAGGTGAGCAACAAGGGGCTGAAGATCATACAGACGGTTCACCCAGGTGGCTCGACGAGGTCTGCTGTTAAACATTTGGTACCAGGACACGCTGTCCTGGCGGCTGTGCAACGAGAAGACGTCGTCGCGGCGACTCTTCTACTTCCAAACCCGGCCACCAACAATCCTGTCCACGTACACGCGTACAGGTCACTATCCATTTCTATATTAATAATAATTAACATCCACGCACGATATTTTACTATTTTTGATCATAGCAACATTTTTTCCTCAATAACAAAATAAAACCTGTTTAAAACTATCTATTTGTACTCATCAAACAATTCGGGCGCCTCTAAGCTGCACACGAAGTTCTACATACATTATCACAAACCAATAGCTCCAGACAGTAATTAAGCTGAAGGTCGCGCAGCAAAACACGCGTAATTATAGATATTAATACCCAATTAACTGAATGACTCTCTACAAAGCGATCGCCACTTTCTCGGATTATTCCGTTGTAATCCTTGATGCTTGTTAGCAAGATTAACTTCTTAACGATCGGTTTGATGTATTGTCAAGCATTAAGAGAGTAATGGGTTCTCCGACGATTTAATTGCATAACAAGTTTCAGATTTAGAATCCCAAGATAAAAAGGTTACACGAATTAAATGGCAACGCTATGAAAAGTTTTTCACAAACGAATCACCTGTTATTCGTTTAACGATATTCTTTGAATTAAAAGCGACCTATTTATTCAATGTTTTGATAATCTAATTAGATTCTGTTAGTTTAAAAATATTATATAAATTAATTACAATGAATCTGCATTAATTTTCATGTTCACGATGGAAAAAAGGTATCGACTGCCACGATACAGGTCTATTCCAGATCTCAGCCGTTATAGAACACGCTCGCTAATTAACGACCCACGCGATTCTAACGGGTCGTTAATAAATGTTCATAAGCTCGCGTTCGCACATGTTAATGTTCCATCGGCGGTTAGCCGCGAAAGCAACCTTGGCATTGAAAACAAACAGTATTTTCGTTCCTGTATCCGATCCGTGTGAAAACCATCCGTTGGTTTTCCATAGTCGTAACCAGCGCGTTATACAACATGGCGTCGCATTCATGAATCGACGATTTCGATCGGGAACCAGGTAAATGGCTCTCGAGGCGCGTGATAGTTCGCTGACCGCGATTTCTTGCTGAGTTCACCGAGGATAATAAAGGTCGCCGATTGCGAAACGTGGCGATAATAACGAAAAGAAATTAAAAGCGCGCGATGTCCAAATAGAAGGATGAGAAATTGATTCCGTGTCTCTGGGTTAGCAGGTTATGGCATTTACTAGAATCTTATTCGAGGAAATTATTTTTAGAATATGGAGATATTAAAAATTGCGAACGAGAGAAAAATTAACTATTTTTAGCGGTGAATGTTTACGTTACATATTTTTGTTTTATTATAGTTTTAATTTATTATCGAGTTATCGATAGTTTATTATCGATCTAATTTTTATTCTACAAAATAAAAATACTTGGAAAAACGTAATGTTTCCGATAATTTAAATTTTTTACCGGTGATATCAATTTCTCCCAGTTCTCCGGCATGAAATTTCAAATTGTGGGACTAATAATGATAAATTATACACCTAGTTCTTGCAATAAGTTTCTGATCACCCAACTGTGATTGCAGTTAAGTATTATGTCGAGGAGAAATCAGCGAACCTGTAATTTCAGTGGTAGTTGTCATTAACATTCCTACTTCGTTCACCAACCCTTCTACAGCATGTTTCCGATATTTCTTTTGCTCCCTACTTGGCGTCCGCCGAGAACGATATACCTCCTATCAAATTTGCAACATGAAGGATGCCGAGAAATAAAGACACGCTTGTTCTACTTAAATAAAAAAGTGGGGCAAGCTTCGAAGTTAAACAAACATATTACTAAAATTAAAGTCAATTATATATTTCAATTGAGCAACACGTAAATTTAATTTTAGAAACACTATACATTTGTTATTTAATTTCTCCTAATTTATATCTAATTTAATTTAATTCTAATTTATTTAATTTCTTCTGCCTCTACTCGAATGCATCTAGTGTGCATAAAGAGATCGACCCTCGAGACAGGTCACATCTCTTCAGGGACAATTTTCTCTGACGCGAACAGTATGAAATTTTGACCTTGAGCCTGACCTCTCTGACTTCAGGTGCGACTCTGTCGAGACAGCTGAATTATTGGGGGGTCAGTTGAAGGCACTGGCGTCACATACAGACAATTTGGCCAGGGTCACCTCGTTGGAAAGGGTCCGCAGCAATTTAGGCAGCGATGGCAGGAGCACCAGGGAGTCAGAGTCCTCGGAGGGCAGCGGTGAACTCAGACACGATCCTGTGCAGACAACCACGATATACGAGTCCCTGGCTGCGGAGCTACGCGCCAAATTAGGTGAATATTCCCTCCTTTGCTTATCTATTTATTTACTTTATTTCACGTCTTGGTGAAAGTGTGAAATAATTTGCTCTCAATTGTGGAAAATAATACAGTCTCAGTCTAAGGAGTTTGCAATCTAACCTAAAATTCTGAAAGCAATGTTTACTTCTTGTACAAGGTTCGAAGGACTTTCTGAACTGGAAGCCTGTAGAATTTCGAATCAGAGATAAAATAAAATTCACTAAGAACAAACTATAATAAAATAGCATGTACAAAATAAGAGGAGAACAAGTTCAGACAAGTCTAAACACGCCAAGTATTGATTGAAGTAGAAATTCGAGTGCAACTGTCCATAAATATAGAAAATAACTTGGCAAGGGGATGGTAAGTAAAAGATATGCTTCCTGTTATTCCAGGAAGAGGGAATTCAGGGGACAACGACGTGGGACCCATCCTCCTGCCTCCCAGGGATTACGATACCGTCCACAGACACCGTGGCAATCTCGCTGGCATCGAGTTCAGGCGTTGCCTGAATCAAACTATCGTAGGTGGTAGTATCACGGTTGACAGAGGCGGCACGAGAAGTGCTGCCAGCAGTGGAATAGGCTCGGACAGTGCCGCTACGCCTCCGCCTTATCAAAGCCATCATCCATTGGGCCCGAGACCGTCTAGACCTTCCAGAGATTCCTCCTCGGGTAAGTGGATTACTCTGACCTTCGACGAATCGAACCATCGCTTATTTTCTTCGCAATTTCTTTAAATTTTATTCAAACACAAATTCTACAAGTGCAACTTATCCATAATTTTATACAAGTCCATTTTATCCTCCAACATGAACTTTATAACTATAACACACCTGACTAATAATTTTAGGAATATAAATATCCTTTAATATCTTTAAATGGCCCCAAGGACTTGAAACTAAAATACATACATCGCTCATATAGAAGTGACAGCGAATCGTGTACTCGCTCGTATGGAAATGACATCACACGCGAAAGGCAGAAAAAAGATTCGTGACAAAATACCTCGTCGAATGGCACGAATCGTCCGAGAGTTACGACACCGCAGAGGCGTTAGCGGCGATTCGATAGTCATGCCGAGCAAGTGTGAAATTTATCGTGAATGAGAAACGCGAGTGAACGCTGAATTCACCGTGACTGCGATGCAAATGACGTTCAACGCCACGAATTTGCACGCCGTGGGCATTATTGGCATTACTGCTATTATGTCAATCCGCGTTAGAGCGTGCCTCGAGGAATCACTCTTCGTTTCTTGCTCGTTGGTAAAATGAATTATGCATGATAATATTCATTTAGACTAACCAGACATCAATCTCGGAAGATTAATCGAATACCAGGAACCTGGGAAATAATGGTGTTTTAATGTTCACAGTCAATCATAGCCGATCGGACATTTACTATTATCGATTTAGAAAAGTTTCAATGATTTGAAAGATACTATACTCCCTACTGGTTAAGCTTGACCCTGCCTGACCACAGTAAAACACGTTGGGCGACTTGTGTAGAATTCTAAGCATGAGCACAAGTAAGCACGTTGGATGGTTCTACATAGATTTGCATGGCTGACTATAAATTATAACGTTAGGTGGATGTAATTAGACTTAGAGATACTATGTTCCCTACTGGTTAAACTTGACCATGGCTGATCACAGTCAGGCACGTTGGATGGCAAGTGTAGCTTTCTAAACCTGTCCACAAATAACCACGTTGGATGGTTCTACCTATATTTGCATGGCTGACTACAAATGATCACTTTAAGTGGCTGTATTTAGACTATCCATGACTGAATACACTGAATGCAGCACTCATCTCTCAAAACGTAACATCGAGACTATCCCTTCACCAAGGAAAAAGTGCTCAACTGATTGTCGCCTGTCGTTCCTAGCTAATTGCTCCCGTGGAAAGTGGTCCCCAGCGTTTTCCTAGGAGATTAGGCGATCAGCTCGAACGCGTCGTTACGCCTGGAAAGCGTTCGCAGCGGCGGATGCTGGACGAAAGTGAAAGTCCTTTTCCTGGTCCCACTCAGGAAACGATCTTTGGCACCGGTAATAACGCTCAGCGAAACAGATGAAGCGTGGAAGGTTGCGTTTCCGCGAAGGAACTCCAGTCGAAAGTTTATCGCGTCACGTGGGGTTCTTCATCTGTAGGAAGTCTGATGCGCTGCTAGATACTCGCGTGATAAACGACGCGATGCACCGTTGGACGGACGCATGAGAAATGACGAATTAAGATAAACGGTACCTTGGCAAGGTGAACGAATGAGCGTCCAGCGACGAGAGTTAACGGACGTGTTGGTAGAATCTAAATGGTAAAAGGCGAAAATATATCGTCGAGCGTGTATTTTGCCTGGTTTCGAGTCAGACGTGGAAAGAGAGTATGGAGTGTGTTCGGTAAAGTATCGGAGATATTGAAGAGTGAAGATAGAAGCAAAGCAAGTAGGATAATGGATGACTTGGGTATGGTAAGAGTCGAAGGAAATATGGATGAAGATATGAAAAATAGATGAAGATGTATCAGCAATGATGCTCCTTCCTGGAGAACTTGTTCAAAGTGTTACACGTGATAAATAGTTGGAAAAGAATCTAACGACAGAGCAACTAGGATAACACACAAGGTTCGCTTATCTAACGTGGCTAACTCTAGTCAGTCGAGGAAGTTCGTGTACACTCATAAAACATTGCTGGATGTAACCATCATGGAAACGTGCAGACACTCACTCTAACGATTCCAAAAAAAATTATTACATGTAAATGTTTATTTCTGAGCAGAATTCTCGAAGAATCGTTTAACGCAGTGTTCAGAGCTTTCCAAGAGGTTTTCGAATGTAATCGGAATGCGATCGTTGCACAACCCCCCGTCTGGTGAATCCCAGATGAGAGAGAACAGGAACATTCCAACTATTCAGTAGGACGGAGCAGCTTTCCCGTTTCCAAAATCGCGAGACTTTCTCCGGTTAGGACCGGCGTTTAACGATTCGACGGAGGCCCAGGGAGAATTCGTCGACGAAACGCGCCCACGGTGAATAATCGGCGAACGATCGAAGTGAAAGTAGACGAACGTGTTTGTTATTAGACCGACACGAACTCGGGCGCGTTCGGCGGTTTTGCATTCAGCGCGGGGCACACGCGCTCCGGAGAAAGAAAAATCGAAGACGCCTCGCGACGAAGAAACGATTTTTCGTTTGGCCGGCGCGGAACTGGGTTACGGGGTCGCCTTCTGCCCGGTTTTCTACGAGCATCGATAAGATTCGTGGCGGAACACGCTCGGCCACCTGTTCGACCGGTAGAAAGCGTCCAAATTTTTGTCGGCGACGCCGCTGCGAGTTTCCGTGCGCCGCCATTTGCTTCCGCCCCGACGTTTTCGTTTGCTTTTAGACGCTTGAGACATCAGCGAGGCAAAAACGCGTTATTCATTTAGTTTCAGGGGAGCGGAACATGGGTAAAAATCTGAGAGGTTCCTTTGTAACGGTACAATGGAATTTTGATGTTAGGAGTCCGTGACGTTTCATTTTGAGGTTAGGAAATGAGTATATCTAGTCCTGCACCGTACGATTTGTGTTCTTCTTTGACTCCTTATTCTTGGGTATGGTGGTCATCGCACGTATGACGGGATCAACATTAATGCTACCCACTAATAATTACCCACCGAATCCTAACCTCCAAGTGCTACGATATTCCAGATTCCAAACTTCCTGAATCAAAGAGTACGAAAGAAACCTGCGTGTAGCGGTAAATTTTTCTCGTCGTCAAAGAAGAGTTGAGACGTTTTGCCTGTTACACGCTCGAAAGGTTCTCCGGAGTCGTCGATGAAACAAGATTAAAGGGACGTGGTCACGTCGGATTGAAACTTCAAAGTCAGAAAGCGCCGCGTCCTCCTCGCGGGGCGTGCCGTCCTCTCGCGGAACATGTTTTTAACGGACGACTGACCCATATAGCGTAAACGCATAAATTTCGAGACGAGGGAAAAAAGAGTGTTCCTCTCATATCCGCGCGGATGGACGACGAAGACCGGGCTCTGCGTGAACCACGTACAAGGAGAGACTGTATTTGGCACCTGTTACAGTGGAAGGAATACCGTTAGGATGTCGTGTCGTCGGCAGGTACCAGCCTACGGGTACACGCATACATCTTCCGTGGCCCCGTGGTTGTACCAAGCGAAAATCCAGCTGCTTTGACACTGGGAACCGATGTTGATCAACGCTACCGGAATTCGTAGACTCCGAGAGGAGAACGCTGGGGCTAATTCGCTGTCCACCGGGCGACGTTGTCGAGAGGACGTCTGACAGAAGTGGGACATGGAAAGTTCAACGACTGCAATTTTGGAGATTCGGTTTATAATTATTGTGAGTGACGGGGAGCACTCGCGAGACCAAATTGGTAAGGACAGAGGAAACAGGCTAGACGGGTCAGCTGACAGAAGTGGGACGTTGGTAATTCTATGACTGTTATTTTAGGGATTTTTTTTAGAAGTGCCATTAGTAGGGATAAGTGGGGCACGCTTGTGTCTTTAAGTAAATGTAGATAGAATGCTAGAATGTAACAGATTCAAGTGATCTACATCGCTACTTTAACTAAGAAACCATCGACTGAAATCTAGCATACAATCTAAATTCTACAATTTTAAGATGTCTTCGGGTCTTATCAACAGAGTCCAGGAACACATGTTGCATTTAATCAACAGGTATCTGAAAAATATGTGTCAACACCAAAGCTTACCGCATTATCCTGAACCAGTTTGGCAACTCCGATAGGACGAGCCATCAACTGGAAATCTAACAAGACTAGGAACACCGAATGCTCACTCAACGGAATATTTATATTTTGCTTTCCAAATGATTCATGTCTCGTTGCACGGAATTAGCATTTGCGTTACCAGCCGAACACGTCCAACGAGTTGGTTGTTTCGCGAAACTGACGGCAGCCTGGAAATTATGGGTGAAAATGTTTCCTCCGTTTATGCCAGTTGCGAGGAGCCACAGAGGTTCAACGACTGTTTTCTTATCTGATGCAATTAAACCAAGAGTGGATTAAGAGTTATACCGCAGATTTACGACTCGTACGTCAACCATGCATCATGACCCTCGTTCGGATATTCTCTAGCCAAACGTGCTACTGACCGACTAAAGCTACTTTTCACCCGGCACGAAAATCGAACCGTGTATTTCCAGTCATTTTTATACGAAGGTCACGCAATTTCTGGAGTTCCTCATTTTATTTTCAAGTTACGTCAGGCATGCTCAAACAGGATCATATGCTGTCAAACCTAGATTGTCGATTCGATAATGCAGTTGAAAACTATTTGCAGACTCAGACATGGAACATAAGTACACTAATCGAATCAAAGCCAAACATAGTCAAACAGAAACGTGCACTCTAAACTTCAAATTGAGTATTTGATCAAAAGAATATCTGAGGGATACCTAAGCCTAGTCCAAGAGGCTATCCAAAGTGACATTAAACATGCTCAAATACTATCATACGCTGTCAAACCTACATTATGGTTGCAATGATACAAACTTTATTGAAATCCATCTACAGATCGCATTTAAGCGGTCGAATAACCATAACATCTACGTGTTGTCATCAAACCTGAAACGAGGGGACTCCGTTTGAAGTGCAATGTATCCTGACAGAGTCAGATATATCCGAACAAACTCGTGCGCTCGGCGACGTTATATCATTCGTCTTTTACGGGCCACGGAAGAACTCGTTTTGCAAACAGGTGTCTCGGGGACACGATGCACCGCGATGATCACGATTTCCACGTTCGGACCTCCATATAAGCGCCGCTGTCGGCCCTCCTCCTCGCGTAGACCGCGTTCTGGCACACTTTGCCCGCGTCGGGCTCACGATTTGCGTATGTATCGGTGCCTCGAGCCCGCGGTACATCGCGTGAAACTATCCCGAGCTTCCCAGATTCCAAACGGCGATTAGCTTCAGCGCCGATTAATTTATCGTCGTGTTGAGTAACTGCTTTACCCATGGACGTGTTACTCCGTTTTTTTTTTTTTGCTCTGGAGCACCGTTGACTCTCGCGAGCTTCGTCTGAAAGCTGATCGTGTGATCTAGACTCACCGCTCTTAGGCGAGATCCTGGAAACGTTTGAGGATTAGTTAGAATCTGTTCCAAGATGCACACGCGAGTTTGAGAGGTGTTTTGAAGGTGTTTGATTAGGTTTGATGGTGATGATTGGCTCACAGGTGACTGATAGATTCATAGTTTCTGATTTAAAACTAAAACTTGACTCGCTACAGGGAGTATCCAGGGTTTAAAGCAAAGTGTGAATCAAGAAAATAAGTACCTCGATGCAAACGACTCGTTTAAACGAGGGACCGATCCCGATATGGTCCATCCTCGCAATCCACCTTCCGCGACCTAACCGAGTGTCCGCTCGACAATCTAATCTGATCACTCCCTGAATTCCCTAGCACTCCCGTCGCTTAAAAATCAATCGAGGCCTCTTATCTCACAATGCGCCGCCGCCAGTAACGCCAGTCGCCTCCTAGAAGCAGCGAACATCGCCGTTGCATTACCATCGGCGATGATATTAAGAAGATCCCAGGCTCTTTGCCTTTTAACTTTTACCTAGTGCGGCAACAGCATTCCGTCCCCCACCACGTGGCGCTCCGGCGTTCGCGATTATTGCGCAAAGGAGCTCTCGAAAGGCGCATTTCCATGCGGGAGAGCTCTCTGGTTCGCGCGCGCGCGATGTCGCCCGTTCCTAGCGACGATAATAATTATGATCGCAATGGTAATCACCGGATGGTAATGATGATGACGACGCCGAGGACGCCGTCGCCGGCCACGATACACCTGAATTCGTGTGCAAATCGACCTCGTGGGAGGTCATAAGGGAACAAAGTTCCGCATTCTCGGCCCACAGCCTCGGGGCTCCTCTTAGCCTCTTCGTGTCTCTTTGAGCCTCCTCTCCCTCTTCGTTTCCAGCTTCTTTTCAAACCTCCCTGACCTCTTCCTCGACAGACGCCGGAGTATTCGACCGGTCTCCTCGCGGCAGGTTCCTTGATAAAAGAGAAATTGTGGCTTTTACCTTGGAGACTCTTGCTATTTTTCTTCGCCTCTCGCTCCATTGACCAGGTATGCGCGGACAGGTTATGATTGTTCATTGTTTGCGCTCGCGGGCCAGGGAAGATAGTGTTCCAGAGGATGGAGACGTTTTATCAGAAATAGGGATGACGCTCTGATTTGGATAACCTGGACTCGTTTGTTCTCCAGGTGAAGACCCTGTTATGGGTGAATGAGTTCAGTCTTTCATGCTACGAGAAAGTAGAACAGAAATTATGCGAGTGCGTTTGGAAGCATCTCGGAATTACTCTGAAAAATAACTTGCCATAGATGGCTAACTTAAACGAAGACTAGCGTCAGCCATGTTTTCATATCTCCACAAGTAGTGGAGGTGTCTTAGATGAACCTCCGTTTGTATCTTTACGTGTGTCCTCCTATATATGTCCCAACTAGAGCTGCACATCTGCATCCGCAACAATATTTCCATATTGTTGCTCAACAGAAATTCTCGAGTGTTTTTTAGATGTATCCTCATGTGAATGTATATATTATTTATTTAATTATTATATTATGTATGTACATCTCTTTATTGTGTAACAAATTAGTTTGTTATAAACACATTCCCTTTTCACAATGTTCTTTGCTCATATCTAGCTCCTTACTCTATTTACTTATATTCTACGCGACGCTGGTTGGTTGACGGTTTACAATAATACTGTTTTATTTGTACATTTTTTCTTTTTTTGAAGAACCATGGTTTGAATTTGTATTTTTTAATTATTATATTATACGTATTGTATATCAATTCATTTGTAAGTGGAAGTGGAATCTGAAAACTTTTATGCTATTATTTAAAATACAATGTACTTAGTTCCAAAGTAACTTCAACCTCATACATAACCTCAACCCTAACACTCTCCCACTATTGACCCTTTCAAAAATATCCTAAATAACGACGACTGTCCGTTTCAGACGACGACTGGGGAGCTCCGACAGACGAGAACGACTATCTCCCAGAGCCGGAGACAACGGCGACGAGTATGACACTGCCACGATTGCCCAGGAGCCCGGATCGGTTGCCCAGCCAGGTTATCAGAGGCGTTTCGCCCAGCTGCAACAGGAGCCGCAGGGCCCCAGAGTTCAGGCAACGCTCGCCGAGTCCTCAATACCAGCCCAGAATGAATCCTGGCGAGGTGACCAGTCCCAGGGAGAGATTCCAGGACGCCAAGGAAATGTTCCGAGCCATGGAGAGAGAGGCCATCGCCAGGCCTGTCCTTTCCAGGCAGAGAGAAGTTGAAAGTCATCCCGTTCACAGGTACGGCGCAAATATTTTCCTCCGCGTTCGATTTAGCCACGGTACGGTCTTCAAGCTCGCGAATATAAAGACGGACAGGAGAAATTCGGTGCAATCGCCGTTAATTGAAAACACGGAGTGTCTTCCAAGCTGAAACGCGCGAAAGCGTCCCTTCGGTTCGGAAACGACTGTCGCCCGATCGGAAGGTCGGCAAGAAACCGGAGTACACTTTCGATCCGCATCATACTCAGCTTTCGATTCCAGAAGAGAGTCACGCGTCCAAACGGCGACGTTAACGACTCCGACGGATTCGTTTTCTAATCCAGAAAAAGCCCTGGCACCTTGTAAGAAGGAACGATTCGTTCATTTTCTCTCGATCGACCAGATAGACTAGTTTCAAGAGGCCATTATCGGTTTTTCCACTGGCATTCGTTTCGGGTCGGCAATCACGGGTGTCAATCTCTAGTAAAAGCCGTCCGGACGCATGGAGAGTGACTTGGGAATTCACCTCTGATTTCCAGTGGTTGTTTATACGGGGTGGACCAGTTTAACCTGAATCATTCAGACCCAACAGAGAGAACCGTTCCAGTTTTAGGGAATTTACCAGTAGACTAGAGTAGTGAAAAGTTTTAGATTCCTGTTCTTTAGCCTCTGTTTGTGTGTCAAGCGTCAACTGGCGTTCCTCGTGACACAGGAAAAAGGACTCCAAGGTCGGGCGCTTAGGATTTTCATGTCCCTGTCAATTTTTCTAAAGACTATTCGACTTGGACGCGCGATTAGTGAAAGACTTCTTGCATCATTGTGAGATTACGATATATTGTACATCGTATTGAGTCGTATGAATTCGACTCGGTTGACGTAATAGACGCATAATGTAGATTCGTAGCTATAAATTATGCGGAATGTCACGCTTAATTGAATTCTTTCTCGATTGCAACAGGGTCGAGTCGGCCAGACACGCGGACGAGGATCAACCGGCTCGACAGCATCCAGCCAGCAACAGTTCAACGACTGGCCACGAACACCTGATCAGACGAAATCATTCGGAAGTATCGGAACGAGAGAACGATATTTCTTATAGAGCCAGGCCGCGGCCGCGAACCCATCATTATGCGATGGAACGCCCACCAGAGCAAGAGGTCTCGAGGCCCCGACCGAGGAGCTTCTACGAAAACCCGGCGGTCGGACGGGACTTCCGAGATCAAAGGAACGTCGTCGATCCGAGAGAAGTAAGGGTCATTGATTCCTCGTCCCTCCGCGCCAGCGTTCTTCAAGGTCTCCCGTATCGAAGGCTATTGTCCTGGCTCTTTTAAAACGCCTGGTGTCGATGTTTTTGGGCTACATCAGCATTCCTCTTGGACCTGCAGCTCGTAAACTCTCAACGTGTTGCGAATTTTATTCTTCTGTTAGGATCGCTTCTCTCGGACCTGAAGCTCAAACCTACTCAATATTCTCCGTTCAGAAATCCGAGATCTTAGATTTTGCTGAGAATAATTTCCTGAATTGGTCCCTATTGGCACTGGTAATTGCAGAGCTTGGTAGAGATCCAATGTCGAGGAAAGGAATTTTGATTTACTCTTGTTCACTGCGACAGAGATGGACACCTGGAATTTCTCTAGGCACCTCAGGTTTCCTAGTTCGAGTGTACACTTTCTGTAAGAACGGTTTCACAGCGAAACGCTAATTACTTGTCGCAGCTCCACGGAGAAAGGAGTGGCTCGTGTAGTCCTCCATTGACATTTGCTTACTTTATTGCGTGGCTGTGTCGTATTTGCACATGGCTGCAATTGCAGTAACCATCCTGGCCTCCATCTTGAAATACTACTATTCGTGAAAGGATACATCGATACGTAATAATGCGTTAACAAGCTTCTGACTGACATCACATACTGTCACATTAATGCATTGCAGTGATTCCTATTTAAGAGGCGCTGTAGGTAGATGATATTGCTATTGAGTTAATAAACCTGCCGCTACTAACTTTTGAAGTGTCTCGGAGACGACAGATGGCGCTAACGGTTGAGGCTCTGACCCGGCAGGGCCGAGGAGTGGGGATAGCCACGCGTCTCTTACAAAACAAGACTTCCCTAGAAGGCTCTCATATACGTCACAAGTATTCGTACCCTTTACGTCTATTAAAGAAATCTGTCTGAATTAAATTATAGGTTAGATGTTTCCGAACGAATGCTTCGTTATAAATATGAACGGATAGTCATCATAAATATGAATATCAGTAAACTTCACACACGTGCATGTTTATTTATAACGAATATTTGGAAACATCAAACCTACAGAGCACAAATACTCATGGGACTGACTATCACTACGTCAACATCTTACTACGCTAACTGTTACACCCGTTACATAAAAAATGAAGCACTCGAATTCTTTCCGAGGAAAATACCGATGTATAGGTTCTCCGGTCCGTGAAGGAGGAGCTAAAGTATCGGATCAACGGTCGCGAAGGTGTTAAAGCCATCGCCAAACAGCGATCGTCACGCCGCTCACGTCGAAACGTTTTCTGTCAACAGATCCGGGACTTCCGAGACCGTGCGCACGTGCGGGAGATACGCGAGAAGGTGCGAGCCAGGGCGACGACTTACCAGGAGCTGTCCGAGCACGAACGGTACCCTGGTCTCGATCGCGACAGCGCCAGGCCACCCTTGGAAATCGTCCCCACGCCGGGCAGATACCGTCACAGCTACGCCGAGCCGCCGAGACTCGGTCTCGCCGCGCTTCACCCGTACTGAGCCAGCTCGTTGTTAACTAATAAATTATTTAATTAATCGACGTATCGTTAGCGTACTCGTCGCGGCTGGCCAGCGTCCTAGGCATCGGTTTGCTTTTCAACTCGAGGGTTGATCGAGAGTGGAAGCGGATGATTTGGCCTCTATTGCGGACAACTGTGTTGTGTTCTCGTTAGTTTTTTATGTGGGTTGAGTGCATGATCTAGTGGTTAATTAGGTCTTGATTTGTATGCGGACGAAGTTTGATTGTGGGAGTAATTACTGAAGCAGGATTCAGACGTGCCGAAGAGGTCACTCTGATTGATATTTCTGAATCCTGCTTTAGGTATAAATAGCGATTATTTTAAAGGTATGTAGTGAGGTTCTAGAGAGAGGCTCGAAGGGTATGTGATGCTCTATCACGAAGTGCCAAATTGCCCTACTCGTTAGAAAACAGCACATGTGTGACATGCCTTGGGGTGCCCAGGTCCTCGTTATATTTCTCGGTGTTTAAGAAGTGTACAAAGTTCATCCCGGGGATCTGTCCTACTGTCTCTAAGACCTCGCCATGCTGCTACCTATTAGATCTTTAGCACTAGTGCAACACTAGGCGCACTGTTTTTTATCTTTTACTCTATCGCAACAATGCATGGACCAGACATTTCATTTTCATAACAGCACTAGATCTTTTTGAACACTTGCACTAGGTACACCATTTTTAGACTCTCTTTAGACACGAGTCATGCAATTTCCAAACATTTTACCCTAAACTATTCCATTTCCTCTAAGACTGCTATTCAATTAACTCCTGTCAATTGCAGACTAATATACAGCCCACTTAAAAATAACTGCCTCATGTAGTAACTCCTATTCACTGTAAAAATGTCCTCCATTTTCCATGTAGAATCCAGTACAGTCAGGTCATTTTGAGCTCAAGTCAATTTTTAATGATTCGTATTATTATTAAATATATTAATGGCATATAAGATGAGACCAAGGCCAAGCTTTGAAGTCAAACGAGATAAGAAATAACTTGTGAGACTTTCCCGTTTCGAGCGACGTATTCAATGCTTGTCGCTAGCGGGTTCAAGGAAGTGCGCGCATTTTTGCCTACGACAACGTCGAGGGCGCTGTGCTAGGTCGGAGGCGAACGGAGATTAAAATTTATTATTTTTCTTGTATTTGCGGTACCGCGTGTCGTTGCGTCGCGGGCCGAGGTCCTCCCAGTCGAGGATCACTTGTTGACTCTTGAAAACCCGACTCCGTGCACTATATTGTTATGCGTCGGATGCCAGACTAACGATAACGATAGGAATAATAAACAGCAATAACATTGACAGTAACGGTAACAATAATAACGGTTGATAACAATAAAGCCTCTCGTTGTTCTTCGTTCACCCCCTGTGTTCATCCTTTACTGAGATTAATACGTTTCCGATTAAAATGGCGGATGTGTATGTTAAATACAGATTCTGGAATTTAAAGTGCATAGAAACGTTTCAAAAAATTGTCCTTCCAACGGTCCAAGGATCGCGATGGATTAGATGCTATTGATAGGAATATCGAAAAGGTGTATTAATAGACAAAATAGACGGTTAGCAAATCGAATCGTATATAATCCAGAATGTAGAATGGTGAAAGCGGATGTCCATAATCGCGAATGGGGCTTTCTGAAATAGTTTCAACGACATCGAGGCAAATTGTATCGGAAAAGACCACGAAGCAATTTGTTTATGAATTCGTGGCACGAACCACGGGAGAAAACTCAAGAATTTCCAAATATATGTGTTATGTAAATCTCGGGGGACCGTAGAATAAATGTTTCATGGAGATGGACGCTCCGCAAAGTGCATAACACAAGCTGCACGTTCCTCGGATGTATCCTCTTTCCCTTTGTCTTGGCGCGGTCCTTTGTTATACCTTCTACATATACTCGCACCTTTCTCTGGCGAGAGAAATTTAAACATTCGTTTAATTCTTAACGTAATAATCAATCATTTTTTAGACTCGATTTATAATTAGAAAAAGCAGATCGATTATTGTCAGAGTTTGAGAAAAGAGTATGCAGAATTTTCTTCTTCGACGGTTCAGTTGTTGCGTGGTCTATTTTTCAAGTATCCTTGGTTATTTATAGCTATTTTAGTTAAATTTACGCTCTGATAGAGGGAAGAGGCGTGAAGCACTTCATTCAGATTCTTGCTTGTTAGCTCCGGAGGGCAATGAAACTTGTATTTACTCGTTTGCACTTGTTTCATGAAATATTTATCACATCCTTGTTCCGTGCAATTCCAACACTGTCGTTCATTACACTGGTCTGACATTTATTAAACGTGCAACGACAAGGATTTTTCTACGTTCGAGGAAGTATGCTAATTCCGAAGACGAAGTGGAATAATAACGACTCACTGAAATATTCGCTGCTTGTAGCGTTGGGTCTAACGCGATCTGATCGTTAATTCACACGCGCGAAAAAAATCATTTCTCGCTTCATGTGTGCGTCGATTCATTAACACCGTTTCGACCGGCTCGAAAATTTCTCTGATAAGCGACCGGCACACGTCAAGGCGGATCACGTACAGTGGCTCGTTAAATTGCTTTCATGGTTAACGGAGCAGGAAGTGGCCGGTTTGCATTGTTTCGGTGTCTATAGTTGTTGCGCGAATAACAAATGAATAGAAAGTCTTTCGTGCCGCGGTGCGAATAAATCTTGGACTTCTTTTTGCTTTTCTTTCGTTGGATGCGTGCCTCGATTCGGTGCATTTTGCGAAGAGAAGAAATTAACAGGCGAATGGACCGATTTACAGATGTTAATTTTATTTAATTTTCGTTTATTAAATTAATGTGCTTAAATTTCATCATACCTTAAGGGATGCTTAAAATAAAATGAAATTTATACAATGGAGTCATGTAGATTCGTAACATAATACGGTTGACTAAGAATTCTAATTCAAAAGTGTCACTCGCACTAAAGAAAACACAAAAACGTGAGTTTTCTCCTCGTTGGTAAAAAACCTTTCGAAGTGCACGAATCTATGAGCAAGCACGCAACAGCTGAGGCCAAAACCGACCACATGGACCACAGAAATCTTGTTCACCGCAGAGGCGATATCAATTTACCCCTCGATTTCTAATCCATCTCGGTCGGCCTGTGGTTTTCCTTGTTTCTCTGTGACGGAGGAATTTTGCAAGAAATCATTGCGCAACCGCCGCAAGTCCGACAGGGATCGTTCCTTGACCCGAAAATTCTAATCGTGTCTAAACAATGCTGTGATCCAGTGATGGGCAACCCACGAGCCACGCGAGGCCCGTTATGTATTTGAAGAATTTAAGTATGCGTTGATATCTGAGGCTAACTATACGCCCAATAGCCTCATAGCAATTTTATTGAAATAGGCGTCTACCACTCCTCCCTGTTAAACAGGTTTCTGAGAAGGAATTCTGATTCGGTTCCCAAGAGAACCCAGCAAAGGTTGGATCCAGAAAAGCCAATCTGTTTCGAACAATAAGGTGACCTTTTGGGCGGTTCTCGTACACCTTGCGGCTTGAGGCGTTCAAATATACGCGCAGGATCGAGGAAGGAGCATGAGTAAGGATAAATTCAAAAGAAACCCGATCCATGAGCATCAGAATAGTGCCCTTTCCGTATAACCTTAAGGAGGCTCTAGCGCAAAATAGGAATAACGCCAAGAAAATTATAAAAATTTGAATACGGGTTAGATTTTATCCCAAAAACACCCACACAAATTTTGGGAAGTCTAGGGTACCTAAAAGTTAAGAAATAAATGTTTCAATTTTTCACTTTTTAACGTGGACTCTTATGGGAAAATGCGTTTTCAACGCACTTAATTACGTGCTACAAAGTAATTGACGTCAAGATTGGATCGAAAATTTGTATGCATAATAGAAAAATATGTAGAGAACATATATTGATTTACAAAATACTCCGAGAGTACTTGTAGTAATAATAATAAATTAAAGAATACTAGGATAATACGTTTTGTCTTCTGCTATTGACATAGTATGAAAGATCTGGCACGCTGTACGAGAGGTTAGAAAACGCGCGTTCAAATACAAACAGTACTGCAGTTTGTCTGAAAATAATTGATTTAGATTACTTTATGATACAATATAAATATAATAGATATAATAACGACTAAAACTCAATGTTTAAACTAATTTTTTTTTTTTATTTTGATATAAAATTGTGAACCGTTGTAATATTCTAAATACTATGCCAGATCTACTACTACGTGAATCAAGCGACAATAGTAACTCTATATTGATTTACAGCGTAACTGTAGAGACTCCTTAAGAGTATAAACTTATGAAGATGGGTGGTGAAAATTTGCTAAAAATAAAATAGTAGCTTTTTAATAATTCAACGTTGATTTCAAAGAGTCAAGGAACATTGAAATAACTGTACTCAAAGGAACTAATTTCATTTAAACAATTGAAAGTTGGAAAGACCCTCACGAGGAAGTCGTTATCGCCCCTTCTATTCGTCGACGAAGGCTGCGATGGCGTAGAACGGTTGCCTCATCCGCGAATCGGCCGTGTACCGGGTGACCGTTAGAGTGTATACTCGGGGGAACGGTACCGTGGAACGGGGATCTGGTTGTCGCCGTCGACGAAATTCGCACGCCTGAGTCTAATGCGATTCAGAAATTTGATTACCGTTGCGAGCGACCACGGTAGCGCATTCTTGAGTAGACACCTTGGCCTTGAAGAAGTAACAGTTTGACACCTGTGGAATGCGAGGAAAGAACAGCTTGACCCTGGAGGAATCTATAGAAAGAGGAAAACTGACGCCTTCGACGAGCGCAGAGCCAGAGTAATGCTCTAACTTCGCAGCTCTACTATGCGAGTGCATTGCTGCACTTACAGTAAAAGTGAGAGGATACAGTGAGGAAAACAGGCTATATTGCGGTTCTCAATGTTTGTCTAGTCGATTCTTTTCTGTCTCGAATGAGAGAGGATGAACGCTACACTACCAACTGGGTGATGCACCCTGTGTAAGGGACACTTAGACTCCAGTGAACCTGTGACCATTTTAGGTCAGTCCAGAGTGCGACTGCATTTGTTGCATTTATGGAAAAAGAAAGAGAATAGAAATGCAGGCCAGGTTGTAGTACTTGATTTTTGTCTCGTATATTTTTTGTATCTCCAATTGGAGAGGAAGAACGCCACACCATCTACTGAGTGATGCACCCTGTGTAAGGGACACTTGGACTCCAAAGAGCCAGTGGCCTTTTAGAAGAGCAACTGAACCATGCAAACCAGAGCAGGACCCAATCTTCCGAGCAGAATCCTAACACCCAGACTTACAATCGCCTCAGGAGGAAGTGCAAGGAAAGGGTAACGAGTACCATAAAGATACCTGGACCCGCCCTCCTCGCGCCAGGAAGCCCGACCTTTAAAAACTCATCGATTTCTGTACGTTCGCTTGTGTGCGCCAGCGTTCGAACCGTGAGAGAAACAGATTTACGGATTAAAGAAGTAACCTGAGCATGGTTGTGTCGGTGGACACGTACGGGGATAAAGTGGATCCCCCTTCTCCCATAAAGGGACCTGGTATTACGAACCTGCTCGCTTCTCTCGATGGCAGTGACCTGTTATAGGGGGTCTCTCACGGACTGCCTTTATGCTCACGTGCGAGAGCACTCGGTTAAATGCCAACCCCAGTGCTGTTGGTTAGGTCAATTCTAAGTGAAAATTCTACAAGTAATCTTGCGATTTTGCGAATGTAAAATCGATTACTGTCGATTTTTCATATATTTTTGCATTCGTACGAATTCTTATAAATTTCCCCACATCTGCATTCGTCATAAACACATAAACATCCGCAGTCTGAGAATGATCAACAATGATGAGTCACAGCATGGTGCACGAAAAGGTCAAAGGCACACCAATGAAGTTCCACGAATTTAGTCGAGCGAGCAGCTGCTTTCGCATGAGTTTCATGCGTCGACCGCCGCCATCAATAGTCACGTCGTTGTGCTGCAAGCTACGACCCGCTGCCTATCTAAAGGCAGAGCTACGTGACGGAAAAACGGATATTCCGTGTCGGAAGTTCCGTTGCTCCCGATGCTCCCGATGCTCGTACGAGAAAGAATTTTTCTAGTTTCTCCTTTGGCATTCGCACTGGTTATGAATACACGCCTCGTCGCCGGGTCGTGGATTCTGTGGATGCTTCTGGTGATATCAGAAAGTGACCTCGTCAGACGCATACCTGTGCGTTCAGTACCCGGGTTATTGTTAATATTGCAGAATGAAAGTACCCATAGAAATTCTGAACAATTCCAAACATCAGATTGTTGAATATTTTTCATTTCTATGACAATAAGAGATATTTGTCAATATTATCCACTAGACTTT